TATGTGATGGGGGTAGGTAATTAGGGTGGAAATCGGTTACGCAACCCGCGAGGTGCAACAACGGGAACAATCCGAAGCACTGTACACTCACACTGCTTCGCGCCCTCCCTGCTCGGCCAACCACCCGCCACACCCGCCCCGTTGGGCAGCGACCCTCCGGAACCACGACGTCGCCGCTGGCCCTGAGGGCCGTCGCCGTCGGCCAGCTGGGCACCACCTTCAACGTGACGCCCCTCTACCCCTCCAGGCTGGGCAGCGCCTCCTTGGCGTCGGGGCCCAGTAGCGGCGCGGTGCCCGTGCTGGCTGGAGAACTCTGAGTCTCCAGCCAGCATGGTTTTCCCCCTTCTCCCCCCTTTTCCACACGCACACTGACTGGCTGTTCGTCGCCGCCTGTTCGTCATTATGATGTCCGTTTATGGGTCTGCAGCTGCGTCCGTTATTTTCCGAGCGTCGTATTCTTGGGTTTATGCACGTTCCCTTTTGTCGCTTAGCTCATATCGCATAGGACCGGACTGCCCTTTCCTTTCCTTTCCTTCATTGGGAGAATGCTGCGCGCTCTAACGCAACCTTGAGGAGGCTACACATTGGGCTATGATGCGAATTTGATATTGCATGAATGAATTCGCGAGCTACAGCGGGGCACGAGGCGTCCGCCCATTGGCGGCCCCTCGTCGGCTCGACTAAGCTAAGAACACTGAACACGAAAAGGGCAGTGATGAGATACCATGACAGCATCGCATGTTTCCGAAGTTGTGGCATTGCACATTGTCAACAAGATTGATCTGCTTCGCTTTGCGTTGTGTTATTTTACCAGCATTGTTGTCGCTTGCACACACACACAAACACACGCACAAACACACAGACGCACAGACACAGACACGCATGTGCACGCGCAGCACAGCGGAACTTTTTAAAGCCCGACATCTGGGGTTTGCAAGCCGTTTATTCCTTCATTGCAGCCGGGGCTGGTGCTTTTCTAATCATGATAGGCACTCCTGAATGCCTTGATCTAAACACGTGCCCAGCCATTGCGGGTCGATCGCACTGCACTGTACTGTACGGGAGCTTCTGTACGGGAGCTTCTGTGTGTTATAGCACTCCTGCATTCGCCTTCACATCCTGGGGGCGACGGCACTGCGGGTCTTGCATTTCCCTTCGCCAGCATATTCCGTTGGCGATATGCGGTAGAACGCGCGCAGGAGGTCCCCCCGCGAGTGGAATTGGTTTTTTTTTGGTTGCTGGTCTGCTGCAGTCGAGTCTATGTGGAAAGATGGTTGGCGATGTACGACAACCGCCGTACGGCATGCCATACACTGCATAGACCTTCAGGCGCAACTTCTCCGTATAATAACCTTAGACCTTGATGCAGTTATGACCCATGTCGCCGTGCGCTAAGCGCCGTGTTTTGACTGGGGGGATGTCCCCTTCGAATGCGCATAAATGCGGCTACGGATAGCCAGGTGCTGTATTTGAGCGATGCGAACAATTGGGTTGTGCTGGCGTCCTTGCTGGCGTGGCTCGGAAACGACTCAGCTGCATCGCTCCGTTCCAAGGAGGTTACAGTTTCTGTGGATTCCTTTTTGCTTGGCGATGTGGGCTTATGATTTATACGGCGGTGTCTTGCATTGCTGCGGAAGTCCGGCCGTGCCTCGTGGCACTTTCCCGGCGCGCCTGATGCGAAGCAGGAAGCCTAGCTGGGATGATATGGGCCGTTAAACGAATTCAGATCTGATTCAGGATCTGCGCCGTGGCTGGTAGGGCTGCAAATGAAATGCCTTTTACCTGTCGGCAACCATTTATGCAGGTTTCATAGGATGGGTGCCCGGCAGGGCGGTCCCAACCGGCATGGCAGGCAGGGGGGTACTATGGCGTCAGGAGATGGTACGGCAGGCGGCGAGGACGGCATTTCCTTCATGGCTTGGGACGCGACAAAGCATCTGACTATATTGTGGTTGTATGGGTGTGGCGATGGTTCGCAATCCTTCCTTTGCTGTTGCTTAATGCACCCTCTCCAGGTACTCGTGCTTTCTCCGCCGTTCTTGCCAAGAGGTTTCCCTTTCGCACCAGCAACGTGGCATCTCATGAGGCGCGGCAACGTTACGAACAATTTGGCTTGGTTTGGCTTGGCTTGGCACGGCAGTTGTTTATGTCATCAGTGTTGTTTAAGGCATTCCATGGTTTCGGAAGTGGCGTTGTTCAGTGATTGTGCAGGACAGGCGATGCGATGCTGCGGTGCGTCCGTATCTACGATCTATGATCGGCTAGCCGCGTGATGATGTGAATGCGTGAGTGGGATGGAACCAAGGGAGGGTCGCTGTGGGCTGGCTGGCTGCTGGCCGCGTGCGTAGTTCCCCTCACGCTTACTCTCACCCGGAACCGTACTGCGCAGCCTTCTCGGTTCGCAATCCTCTCCTTTTTGACGAAGACGATAATACGCAGTTCAAGACCTGGCGACTGCAAGCTTTCTACCTTACCTTATGTACGATGTACATCGGCAATTCATCGCATATGGTCGCTTACGTATGCAGACATGTTTGTAGATCTGTATGTGGATGTGGATGGAGAATGAAGGCATGTGTTTTTTTGGTTGCTTCTTTGTCTATGTCACGCCGGCGTTCGAGGTGCGTAACTCCCGTACCTGCAAAGCTGCGCGATACGAGCTATGCGGGGATGCAAGGGTTCCCTTAAGCCTGTTCTTTCTGGTTGTGGCGTAGAGTGTTGTTGCGCGGCCTAACGCGTAATCCTTTCATTTACACAGAACTTGTATCGATAAATCGCAGTATAATTGTATATATGGAGGAACGGCGCTTGTGAGGCCGTGTGCAAGTGCAATCCACTGACTGGATGGCGACCGGCGGCTTCGTGGATGGCGTTCAGAGTTTCAGTGTTGGCTATTCCCCTGTCGGGGTGCTTAGAACCAATTATTAGTTGGCATAGACGTGCGCTCCCAATGTATATTTTGATCTTACTGCCCGCTGTAGTTTCCGAGGCGCTTTCCCCGGCCGTACCAGTCGGTGATACAGCGCTGGCGTGCCCTTCAAAGGGTATGACCGGGCGGATTTGCTACGGTGTTGACGCTGGCACCTGTTGACCCTGGGCCACATTGCATTGTTTGCGGTGTGGACCCGTGCGGGTAAGAAGTCTTCCTGCGAACTAGCATCGGCACTGAACAATTGTCGGTCGTTGACGGCTCTGCCGCCGGCCGTTAGCTGTCCCAGCAGCAGCAATTTCCTGCAAGCGGCATTTGCCCGCGGATAATTTTCGACACTCCATTTCGCTGGCTATGGCTTTGGCTAGGCGTGCGATTTGCTGTATTATGTATACGGGTTTTGTAGCGAATTTGGTTCTGTAGCGAATGCTGCGCCAGCGACTGTTCCTTTTTTCATACCTTTCATAGCTCTGCCCTAATCCACTGACGTATCCTGGGACTCCGCTTGGTTCTGCAATCTTACAGTTTTGGCTACGTATGTCCGACGCATTTCAATTTCATTCTAAGCCGCGCGTTACCATGGAAGGCGTGTGACCATGAACGCGGTGATGTCGTGGTGACGGGTCTTGCAGTCATGTACACTGACGCCTTATCGAGGCCAAACATGCTTCCGCTACAGCGCCGCACCCATGTATTCTCCCGTACCTTTTATGGCCAGGGAGATATGGGGCGGGTTAACCCCAGGCAAATGCTGCAACATGACTACTTTTCATTGCCAACCCGTACAGTTTTGATGACATGTAATCCCCCAACCACCACTCTGCTTTTCCAGCATCCTTTGAAATGTCTCCTTCGTATCCCTCTGGGATCTCTTTCAAGAGGCATGGCAAGTGGCCGCTGCCATCCTTCCGGAAGGACAGGCCGGCAGCCAAGCTTGCGCAGGAGGGTCACGGGGCGAACAACGCCGCGTGCCGGCGCTGACGAAAGAAGCGTGTGCCGCACACGTTTCCACATTCGCGGTAAACGTGAGAGTCCTCTGATTACGGCAGCAAGCAAAGGACGCGAAGGTATATCCGGGCCAGACAGATCCACGTGCCGCCCGGAGGACCCGACCATAAGCAACACGATGCGTGTGAAGTCCTAACCTAACCCGGGCCCGGACAATGCGCTTAGGATGAAACTTGCTCAAGGTTAGAGTCCAAGAAAGTCCAATGCGTAAGGCCATACGGCAACCATATGCGGGGCCCACACCGATAACCATGCAGGGAAAAGCGCGCGGCAAGCAAACAGATTTCGGGAAATTACGACATCGCCCGAACCTAGGCGTTTTGCATTGTCCTGCTCTTCCCAGAGAGCGCACATAAACATGCTTTACAGCCCTAATCCCTGTAATTTGTCAAGGTAACGAAAAAGGGCCATGCGAGGGCAATGGTGCATGGAGTTTTAGGGGGGACCGCTTTTCGATCCCCAACCCCATGCAGGGACGCTGCTAGCGAAGGACGGCACGCCGAACAAACTGTGCGGTTCGCTATGGCTGCATGGGAGCGGGGACTATACCATGGCCGCGCCGTGCCATATGCACTGTACACGCAGGCGGTGGATCAACATGGCAAGTGGCTAATCGTCACAACAAAAGAGGAAACACGAAAGAGGAGCAACTCCCAACTCCTGCAACGGCCTGCACGACCCTTCTCCGAAAGCGCATGCGTACGATGCGTACATGCACAGTCCAATGAGTCCGAAACGTCGAGCGGTCGGTACAACGGGTCCCCCATACCAGGGTTCTTGCCCTACATTCCACGCGGAGTTCCCGATCTGGGTCGTCCGCGAACAAGTCCGTTGATTCGAGTCAGCGAGCTCCTTCCTAACCTTGCCATGTGGGTCGCATGGCGTTGCGTTTCACTCCAGTTGCTTCACACCACCGAGGGTAGCAGCCGGCCGCACACAATGACAGGTCAGACCGAATCCCCAAGGTAGCAAAACCTCCAATACTGCTCGCGCTGGGCTTCAATCCCGGAGCAACGCGCACAGCGCCACAGACCAACCTCCTTCCAAGTAACCCGCCTCCTCTCTACGCCTTATTGAGCTTGGTGGTGATGCCCACACGCACGCACTGATCGAAGGCGACGCACGCAAAGAGGCCCTCCTTGTCGGAACTCCAATCGAATCCGGAGATGGGCTGCGTGCTGAGGTTCTTGTAATTGAGCATCTCCACGGAGCCCGCCACCCCCAGATCCAAGCCATCGTGGTCCTGGTGCGGGCGATGGAGATAAGTGAAAACTCACATGGGGCCACAGAGTTGGATTTTTGCACGGGCTGTGAAAGTGATATTGCCAACCCGAGCATTAGGTAGCGCCAGTCGTGGCGCCCATTATGGTTCAGTAGCGTCGGGCCTTCAAGTTCCTTCCGAACATAGAATACGTGCGAGCTAACGAAGCCATATGATCCAGATAAAGATGCCCTAGGTCTATGATCCAGGCAAGATGCCCTAGGAAACACCTCCTAGCTCCACAGCGGAAGGGGAAGTGTAGAAGCTAGGCAGTGACAGAGTTGAGACACAGTTCGGGCCACCCTTGGAAATACAGACACGGGTGTTCTGTTTATTGCACATTCCGGGCTTTCCGTCACCTTAGTCCGCCCGAGCCCAGCCTTCCTTTTGCGCGCACGCACCTTGACTTTCCGCTGGTCTGGGTAGTGGTACTTGTACAGGTACAGGTTGCCGTCACCCGCTGCCACCATAAACACTTCCCGGTTTTGTGGCAAATGGTGGCACCCCCACACCGTGGCGCCGGCGGTGATCTTCTCTGACACGCATGCGAACCCCTGACCGGAGATTGTGAAAACGCGGGCAATCGGACACAGGAGTTGCATCCAAACATAAGCGCTAATGCCCAGGAATGGTATATGTATATGGAGGTCGGCGTGATACAGGTTACGGCTGCGGCCCTGCGGCATCAACGAGATCTGTTACGGACACACGACCGCGATGAGGGGTAGAGGCCCTAGCCACGGTGCGCGGGATTGTCGGAGTTGAGGCGGCAATCATGAAACCTATCCTATACCACACAACAAATCCCCGTACGTACACAACAGGACCCGTATCGCGCCTAATGTCCTCCGCTCCCAGCTTTGCACTATCCCCTTATTTGGGTTCCTAGAATGCATTCAGCCCGTTGCCTTCAGCTCGCACGGAAGGGCGCGCCGGCGTGCCCTACCTTTTTGGGGTGCTGCGTGCGCGCGTCGAAGACATGGAACTGCGCCTCCAGGCAGGTGACCACAAACTTGTTCATGGCGATGTCCTTGCGGTCAAACTGCACGCCGCAGACGCCGTTCTTGACATTGGTCTCCCAGCGCACCTGCCACACGATGCGTCGCGGAGCCGCCCGATTGAAGACAAAAGCGCCCATGTGGGCAAAGGAAGAGGAAAAACAAGGGAAGGGTGAAAAAGCTGAAGTGGGGCAAAAAGAAAGTACTGGTGTGTAGGTCATACCACGGTATGTGTATATCAAATCGTAAAATATATAAGCTCTGCTGAGCAGCCAGTGGTCTAGACAAAGAAAGAACGGAACGAATGCCGAATGCTACAGAAAAGGCGAATATCAAGACCGCCGCATATTTATGTGCCGCTCCAGTGAAGAAACGAAATGTGCCCCGAGGACGCACACATACAGCGCCAGTGTGCATCCGCATCCACCCATTCGCCCGCAGCCGCCCACCTTGTTCATGCGTAAATCGAACATCTTCACGTCCCCGTTGTCGTATCCCGCCAGCACGCAGCGCTCCTCATCGTTGTACGAATTCCCGAAGGAAACGCACCAGCAGTCCCTGAAGCGGCCAAGACAAATCCATGGATTCAGTTTTAGGTACCATTTGGACTGAGGAACGCACGTGCACTGGCGTACTCATGCCGTGGACCGACAGGCACATGTGCGCTGCAAGCAGAGGGAGAGCGCCGTACTACGTGCATGTGGCTGATGGGATAGGGAGGTAAGGCCGTGCCCAAACAACACCCGAACTGGAGCGGCATAGGAAGGTTAAATGGCTTGGGTGGTTCATCTGACGGTACCACCTGGACTTGACCGGGGCGACCGGCTTAACTGTCCGTAGGGCCCCGCAGGCCAGTGATCAGGCACGAGCATGCGATGATGATATCCAGGAAAACCCTTAGAAACTACAAACCTACGAAAACGCGACAATGACATAACCATGCCTCTTCATGCCATAATTCAAAGGTTGGCAAGAAGAATGTGGGATTGAAAGGGTAAATCCTGGTGCGCGGGAGTGGCGAAGGTCGCCAGCACAGGCCCCGCGCGAAACATCGCAGAGCGCAGAGCAGACGCTTCCCACCCACCTTATGTTATTGGGGTCTGCCGGCTCAAACGCGGCGACGGGGGCATCATGCTGCCTCACATCCCACACGCGCACGCAACCGTCCCGCCCGCATGTGGCGAGCTCAGGTGCGCCGTAGCCCTTGGCCTGCAGGTGGGCATGTGGACAGGGACGCAGTTGCGGGGGAGGCCAACCAGCAACGTGCGCCGCACGGCGTAGATGGCGGGCCTGGGAGGAAAGGATGCCGTGGGTGCCCAGGGGCGCCGGGTCCCGTGAAGTCTTGGGCCGGAAACGGGTGGCATGGCTCTGCTTCCATTGCTCACGCTGGAATGTGCTGATGAGCAATAACACACAACAAATTTCACGGCGTCTTTATAACAAATTCCCTGATAGCTCCCGCTTCCCTAGCTACGTAGCTATCTGGCAGACCTGGAAGCCCCGCGAGGCCGCCTCACAAGGCCTGTCCGGAGGCCCAGGTCCGTCCCAATCACCCGGAGGTCCTCCGGCAGCTCTGTCAGACCTGGGAACTCCCAACTGCCCTCTCAGCGTCTCCTTCACACTCGGGTACCTTACTCATGCTATACTGGGTGGAGCCCGGTGGTGGCCGAATTCGCCCCAATCAAGACCCAAACCAGTCAATGTCACCCGGCATCGCTGATACCGCATACTGTGCACAGCAATCCTTTCCATCCCCCTTCTGCTGGGCCCCGCGTGTGGGTGCAAAGGTGCTGATTTACACTTCCGCAGCCCACGCATACATCCCAACTGCCCACCTGGCCGCCGCAACCGTCGATTGCGTTTACAATGGACTGGTGAGCCTGCGCAGAGAACACCGGCTGCGCTGTGTTTTCAAGGTCCCAAATCTGCACCTCGCCGCCGAAGTTGCCCGTGGCCAGGCGCCGCTCGGCGAGCGACGACGCCCCAAATGTCCCGCACTTGAACGACAGCTTCTTCTCGCTCTCCTTGACCGTTTTGAGCTCAGGGCCATCCAATTCGTACACCTGCACTTGCGTCGGTGGATAGGGACGTGAAACGAGCGATAAGCTGATAAGCTCGTGCGCCGGGTCATGCGAAAGTAAGTCGATCGTGGGATTGAAGCTGGTAGGGACACCGGAAGGAACGGCATCCATGGCGCGACGCTTGGCGTCAATATTCTGTGCATGCCCGCCCGCCCGGGGTCCCGGCCGTCGCTGTCGGATGAGGGTGGTCAATCCTGGGATCAAACCCGCTGAGTCCCTCTTATGAATGACTCCATGTGGCCCCGTGTATGCGTGCGCCCTTCACTGCCATTTCTGCTTCGCTGCACCCCTTGTCGGCTACCTGCAGTGTTCAATCCTTGCGGCGCGTGCGGTTGCACGCGCATGGTACCTTAAGTCCATTGTACAGGTCCGAGCAAGCTGCATTCCGTGGACTGGCGGGCACGAATCGCCCCAGTTCGCGTGGACAGAGACCGGTGATGGTGGTAATCATGGTGGTGCTTTCTGCTAAGTTGGTTTGGCCATATGGGGGCGACTTTGACTTGACCGCTACGTTTCACATGAAGAGGTTCTCAAAGTGCGGAGTGGAGCCTGAGGCCCACCTGAAGGCATCCTGTGTTCCGTGCATAGGAGCCCAGCGTTACAAACTTGGCGCTCCCTGGTATCCATCTGCGAACACAAATGTTTGTCCCGCAGGTCACCAGCTGCCCCCAACGGCTTCAGAGGTGGGTTCTAGCAGCCGAGCGACACGCAAAGAAACTCCCAATGCAGATTGGGAATTGCAACATGGTTTCACTGCGATTGCGTGTCCTGGAGGGTATGCTTGCAGCAAAGCGGGAGAACAATCTGGATAACAGCTTAGCATAGGACGAGACAATAAACCACATGAAACACTCCCAGACTGACTTGCAATCATAAAGGGTAACCGTTAGGCTTTTGTGCAGGTGTTCTAAAATCTGAGGCTTGTTCTGAGCGTCCATGGCAAACTCTTTGACTATACTGGTTTATCCTGCATCTATAGATCAACTAATTCAGCTAGCTAATTTACAGAAGCTCATGAGTTTGCGCATTCAACGTTTTAGCAATATGAGAATTTATGCCAAGCAAGCCTCCCAGTAAAGTTTTTGAGGACGGCATAACAGGGATTCAATCGTGGGGTTTTAGGTTCCTAAAACGCCAGCATGCAGCTGTGATACTGCATGCAATGGCTGGGGCTTATGTGCCTTGTAAACTCGTTGGTACGGCATTGGTATGATTTCCTTTTTAGAACTGGCGCTTTCATTTATGACATTACTCTAGCCTTCAACGACTTATCAGGGTGTGCTTACGTCGGCTATTCCGTTGGGTTAGCGTGCTCGGAGCCTTCCGTGCGTGACTTCGCCGACCTCTCCGCGTGCGAAAGGTGAGGCATGACCCAGACACCACCTTTGGGGCTGGCCAAGGCATGTATATATAAGCATCCACTTTGTTATTTTTGTTGCATGATGAAGCCGCCGGGAACTGCAACGGCCTCTTAATCGTTGCTGAGGCAGACGTGATGACCACGCACGCGCTTGGGAAAACGTTTTGATCACATGTTTCCTTTGGATCCATATCGTCTGAGCTTGTTTCTTTGAACTCCTATCATCACTTGCTATTGGGTTACGTGATGCCTCTTCTAGGGAGATGAAAATGGAGATGTACCTTGAAAAAATCAACTCCTGGCACCGGTGGCGATGCAACGCCATGGCCTTCTATTTAATATTTGCATGCGCAGTACTGGATCTGGACACATGACTCCTGACTGGCTTCGCCCTTACCCGTGCAGATGTCTGCTCAGACTCAGCAGCCTCCCGCGGCATGGAAGGCCGCTAAGCCTTTTGTCAACGGTGGTCTGTCGGGTATGATGGCGACCTGCATCATCCAGCCAATCGACATGGTGAAGGTCCGCATCCAGCTGGGTGCCAAGGGTGGACCGGTAAGGATGGGTTTTCGCACGATGGGTATACGCTCTTGATGCATGGCCGTTGGGGCAGGGGCCTGTGCGCGCTGGTCACGGTCCATTTCCATTCCTATGTAGTGGGAAACGGGCAGACCCGAGCGCATTGCCAGGGCGCATCGCAGCTCGTTTTGCTCCACCGGTTTTCCAGGTTCTGTTTTGCTTGCCCCGATGATTGCAGTTGGCTGTCGGTGCGGAGATTGCACGCAAGGAGGGTATCGGCGCTCTTTACAGGGGTTTGAGCGCCGGATTGCTGCGCCAGGCGACGTATACCACGACCCGTCTCGGGGTTTTCAACGTTATGTCTGAAGAGCTGAAGGCCCGTAACAATGGCAAGGTCAGCGGCGCATGCTTAACTCCTAGCGACTTTTGTACTAAGTCATTATTTTGAGGCCTGATGGTATGGAAGGTCCCCTTGCTTTTTTTTGCAATTGAAATCTGTTTGCTGTCGCCTTTGTCCTGCAGAACCTGCCATTGTGGCAGAAGGCTGTTGCAGGTCTATCGGCCGGCGGCATTGGCGCTTTGGTGGGCTCGCCCGCTGACCTAACGCTCATCCGTATGCAGGTGCGCTAGTGCAAGGACTGCAAGCGTAATTTCTAATCCATAAAAGTAACCTGTTTCAGAGCCTGGAAACCTGGCCGCTGTGTACGCTGTCCTAAACAACAGGCGGATTCAACCCTGCCCGTGGAGCAGCGCCGTAATTACAAGGGCGTTGGTGATGCATTTATTAGGTGGGTGTTCTTGGGCTATGTATGCCTTGCATTGCGTCGAACCTGGTACCCTGCATGTTGGTAATATGCAGCGCATCATGGTTGTGCAATCGTGTCCCCACAAATGTGTGCAATGTCGCTCAGGATCGTCCGTGAGGATGGTGTTGCCGGCCTTTTCCGTGGTGCTGCGCCGACGGTGGTCCGTGCGATGTCCCTGAACATGGGTATGCTTGCGTCTAACGACCAGGTGAGAATGGCGATGCTGATTGGATAAGGGAAAAATTATGATAGTTTCAGTCTTGCTGTGCAACTGCCGTTTAAAAATCTAATACGCTGGTATTCTTGTTCAGGCAAAGGAGATGATCGAGGCTGCCGGATTCGAAAAGGGTGGCAGTGCTGCCGTGCTTGGCGGTGCATTCATCGCGGGTTTCCTCGCGTCTGCCTTCAGGTATGGATGGTTAGGAGTGCTGTGCTTTGCGATGTTAGTTACTGCTGGCGTTGTGTAATCCCTGGTATTGCTTTGTGCCTTGCAATGGTCCCGCCTTGCCCGGTGACAAACGGTGCGTCCTTTTCATGCCCACAAAACCCACACAGTTTGCCATTCGACTTCATCAAGACGCGCTTGCAGAAGATGACTCCCAACCCAGATGGCTCGATGCCGTACAAGGGTCCAATTGATTGCGCAATCCAGACGCTCAAGAACGAGGGGCCGCTCAAGTTCTACACGGGTATGTCGCTTTTGATGTTTGGGGCTTGTTTTGCTTTGCTTTAAAAATCTCGCACGCTCCTGTTTTTGCAGGTTTCCCGACTTACTGCATCCGTATTGCGCCTCACGTGGTGTTCACATTGGTCTTCGTGGACATGCTGCCAAAGCTGCAGAAGCCCTTCGGCCTATAAAAGGCAGTCAGATGGTTATCCTTGGCTTGTCGTCATCCTTTTCGTGAATGCATGTGTACATGGCGGTGCTGTGCCATCTAGTACCAGCTTGTGAGCACTGCGACTTGACTGACGAGTGACATGAATTTCCTGCTATCCTCCTAAGTTCATACTGCAATACGATGTCCGATGCTGCTCCTGTAGTCGCACTTGACTTGACACCGTAACACGGTGGACGGCTGTGAGTCTACATTTCGAGGCGTTTAACAAAACATGAGTTCTAATTTTTGCTGCGGAGCTTGCCGCCCGCAGCCAATTTTTATCTGTGTTCACGCAAATTGCGTGACGTTTGAAGTAGGGTCGCTCCAGGATTGCCTAGAAAGGTGTCCATTCCTTCAATATAGTCGCCATTTTTGTTCGTGTTAAGTGTAAAATTCGTGTATTCCGTCCGGACGTGATCGTCACTTGCGTGAAAGGTCATGGTGTAACACAATTGTCCGTAAAACCTTCTGGCTTAGGTTGGATGGTTAAGTTAACTCAGGAAACCCATCAGAACTGCAATTCATGTGTAAATCCTGCTAATATGTCAGCTGGTATGTCAGTACTGCAGAAAATCTTGCTTTTGTGCACAGGCTAGAATGTACGAGCCTCGCGAAAATGGCTATTTAGCACCGGTTGGTCTGTCTAGGAGGGTACCGCTCTCGAAACTTCTTTTTCCCCCAGTGTCAAAAGTTGAGTCAGCTACCTCATGCTTGGGGAGGAAAGCCTGTTTCTGAAGCCTGTTTGTTGACCGTGGCGGCTTGATTGATTGGACAACGCCTAAATCCAGGACAGCAGAAGATTGTATGTAGTGAGTCTGTGTATATTATTGTGTAACGGTTATGTAGGGAGTCTGTGTGTATAGGGGGGCGTACAAGATCGGGGCTCCAAGGGCCAACTGAAGGCTGTCCGAAAGAAATATCGTAGAATCGCATAAGGAAAAACCTAAAACCTCAGCAGATCTTTTGCTCGCGCGTGATTTCCCCCATAAGCGCTACTTGCTTCTAGCGGCCGGATAAACGCAATGGAAACCGATGCATATCGAAAGGACTAAACATATTGGCATGCGGCAAACAGCTTGCCCGGCTGCTTTCTCAAACCGCAACCCCATCCAGTGCTTGTATTTAGCCATTTCCATGCGTGGTTGTTTCCCGTCCGAAGGGAAATTATGTGAAATTGCGCCAGCCTCTCGTGGTTCCATGACGACATGACGAAGGCCAGAAAGGATTGGCCCATACAACAACAACGATGGCCTCTCCTACCAGCCGCAGGCCCGCACCCACGCACTTTCCACCTTCTTGAAGTTTGCGAAAACCTCGAGCTCGCACTTAATAACGTTGTGTATGAGCCCAGAAACGGAACTGAATAATTTCATGTATAAGCCCATAAACGGATCCTGACGGAACTGAAATCCCTAACAACATCGAGCAGGGCCAGCAGGCAGCATAAAGCAATAGCGATACCTATCGCACCATGGTAGGATTTCGCGCAAGGGAGAGGGGTATCCCCTGGTTCGCACCTTTGTGTTTGCAAGGACACCCCACGTCCATGAACGCCCAGCATTACAAATGGGCAGGTCCATGCCTGAAGGGGCATCGTAGGCAGTGCGTACGGTGCTGTACGGCGCTGTTTTCCGTGTGTGTTCGGGCTGCGGCACCAGACCGCAAAGTCAACAGGCTGAAGGCTGGCAAGCTGCGATTGTGTCTGCTGACCGTTGAGCATCCGGCCTAGACCGCGGACTTGGGGGCCGAGCCCCTGCTGTGTGCCGGTAACGGCACCTCAGACGCATACGTTAACGCCCAAGCAAGGGCTCTCGGTGGCAGGTCGCGGACCTCCCGACTACATGTAACGGCCAATGGCTCTTAGCTACAAGTTACAAGTTACAAGTTCCGCACACAAGTGCGGGTGTGTCCGTAAAAGCCGGGGGGGCCATGGACGTTGTGTTGGTATTGATGCGGGTACGCGGGAGGTCATCTTCATTCACCCTCGTCCGCTTCAGGGCGAAGCGCCTCAGCGCGACGTGCCTGGCCTTCCAAATTTCCGAGAGGTACCTGGCCAATGCCAGGGGTGTCGCCTCAGTCATAATGGTGCGCATGCTGCGCCCCGTAAGGACTAGGTCACCATCATACTTAGCCCGTATGCTCTTGTAAGCGGGACATTCTTCGAAAACATGCAACTCATCTTCAACCGCTCCACAGTCACAAAGCCTGCAGGTACGCGCGGTGCGCTCACGCCCATTAGGCCTGTTAACCTCTAACTCCCAACAGCCTAACCGAAAACGCATGAGCACATGATGAAGTCGCTGGGGCATGGTCCCTTTAGTGTGCTCCAACCAATCGAGACGCGCACCCCTAGGCGGGGCAGCTCCCATCCAGTTCGTATAGCGACACGCCTTGGCTCCGGTAATTCCTATGGGGAAGACGCGGGGGTCACCCAAGGTATTCGGGCACTCCCACCGTGCATCAAGCCGCTTGGCAAATACCTTAAGAATGTTCTCAACTGGCAATTTAAGGGTGGTGTAGTACGCTATAACATCATTACCGCGCGTATTAGTGGGGGGTTCCACTCCTAAGCTAGTAAGAAAGGCTAGTACCTTGCTTGCCCAACACTCAGAGACGCCCCCAAGTGCCAACTCCAGGTCGGCGACAAATGCCCGGTGACACAGCGTTCCCGGCCTCTTAACCACAGAGTTCCAAAACCTAAGTACAAGATAACCGTGTCTGCTAGGTTCCAGAGAGACACCGTCTCCTCAACAGGTTATAAGCCCCGGCTTCCTGCCTCCCGCGCTCTGACAAGCATAGCTCCCACAGCATCAGCACTGCTGCAACAAGCATAGCTCCCACCACGTTGACAGTACCCTAGCTACCGGCCTGTACGGATGCAGGGGGACCTCGCCCTTTTTCCGGCTTCGAGGAAGCCGACACCCGACTTGTCTTCGTATCAGTACGGTGCCTTCCTATGTGGCCAGTTGATAGTGGCCCATTCGACCGTGCATGCACTGCAGTGCAACTAGGATGATAGAGTAACCGGATCGGAACGGCCCAGAATCCGAAGCCCGTCGGCCGCCTCTTCGCCCCTCCAATTACAGAGTACCCTGAAGTACACGAGCAATTAGGCCGCTGCTTATGCCCATGCTTTCTGGAACGCGCGCAGACGAGCATGACTTCAAATATCCTCTTGGTACAAAACATTTGTGACAGGAAGCGTGTCGTGTGGAACGATTGCCTTTGGTGGTTTGTGTAGCTGGCTTCGGTTACTCGATCCATCGACACGTATCCGTCTCTTATTCTTGCTGTAACTTCTGCGCAGGGAGGCAGGCAGGCAGCGACGTGGAATAGCACCCCGACCTCAGGGGTTCCGTACCCGGCCTGCGCGCAAAGGGATGTCGAACACTTCTTACTTGGTAGAATATACTTAGGTTACAATTATAGTGTCCGCACAAGTGCGGAGGGGTCCATCAAAGCCACGGGGGCCATGGGCCGTTGGTGAAAGTTAATGTTACGGTGTCGGGGGCGACTGCCGTCATCCTCCCACTTAGGATTTCAGTTCTAGAAGGTTGACACGATTTACGCACAAGCTTTGGGCCTGGAGCCAGAACTTTACGGGCACAGGAGCTCATATGCCATCGATCTGCCCGTCTTCTTAAAGGCTGAGAAAGAAGCTGCGATGCAATGCTATGCATAGGTCGTGAAGGGATATAGCAAGGTACACAGGCTTCTCAAGAATGAAAGGGTAAAGGATATCTGAAAGGTAACCTCTGGGAACGTTACACGCCAGGATCAAGATGTCCCGATGCCACGTCGGCTCCTTCGCCAAGTCTACCAATGGTAGGGAAACCTTCAAGTTGAAGGTGGGTGCAAAAATATACAACACCATAAGCACATCTATTGCATGAGACTAACCCAACTAACGTCCCAACCAGCCCACTGAAGCCCTAGCAGCCACTTTGAAAGTCGATTGACGTGTTTACTTCCGGTGCACGCATTTGGCCGCGTCTGTTTGTACTATGCATACGAAGGTACTCCATGTAACCTGCCACAGCTAGATAACTGCCGCAACGAATTTTTGGTCACAATTCCTCTTCAGAGAATATCCGCATTAGGTTGGCAAAGCTAGTGGAGCACTGCAGGAACAAGGCGTTAGCCTATATGATTTTGTTGACTGTAAGCACTTCGTCATATAAGCCAAGTGCTCTGCAGACCTTCTTGGTCAGAACTGTAGTAAGGGGACCTGAGAAAGTCCTTATTTTACACTCTTTGCTTAACTTCCAAATCGCGCGAGCCACAAACGTTCCGTCGTGGACGAGAAGATGAAGGGCTTCCCACAAAAATGCCAAAAAACTCATGCACGACAAAAAACACCAAATGTACGACGAAGTCTTTCAACATGTGCATGTGCAGGTAAGTCACGGAGGCCATTGCCTAACATAATTACGTTCCGAAAGCAACGCCGCCACACTGTTAACTACGCCCACACTGTACTAGTCGTACGTACGAAGTTGAAATGTCCCAGTTCAGAATGTACCATAGTGTAATTTGGCTACGGGCGCAACTGTCCCATACCTTGTCGCTCATCCATCTCATCGCCCTTATGATTCCGTCCATACAATGCTAAATGCACCTGTGTCCGCTACCGCCCTTGAATCCCAGGACGTGGTAAACGTAGTTCGTTGGCTTACTCAAAAAAACATTACTCATACGCGGCGCGCTGCACTAGAGCTGTACATCAACTTGTTCAAGCGTCGTCACTCGCTCCGCCATCGCGGGAGCGTGCCTGGCTGCGCGCCACAGAGAGCTTCTCCGCGATCATTGCCTCTGCAAGCTTCACGGCACTGTAGTTGCCGCTGATGGTGACCTCGCGCTCGTTGGTCGTGGGGTCCATCTTCGAGCGATCTGAGATCTTGATGGTGACGCGCGAGCTCTGCAGACCGGTTCACAGCAGCAACAGCAACAGGCAAAGGAAACATATGAAATATAGAATGCCATGCCACGAGCTAACAATGCCATAAGAAGCGCTAACCAAATTTACGCAACCAACTGATTATCACCCACTTGAACTAGAATTACCATGCCCATTTTCATACCTACCTGCTGCACCTCGATGAGGTTCTGGCCCTTCTTGCCCAGAATGGCGCCGACGTCGTCATCAGACAGGTACAGAGTCAGTTGCGTGCGCACGTTGGACAGCACGTTCTTGGAAGACGCTGCACGAGGCGGCAGCACTACCCCCTGGTTGGTAGCCAACTGCAGCGTCGTCTCCATGTACGACGCATATCCCTCGTGCATGGACAGCTGCAGAGACAAGGAAACGGAGCAGCCAAACCCTCAGACAAAGCAAGTAGACTATGCACCGTGCAAGCATAAGCACAGAGACATTGGCGTTTAAGACCATGTGTACCACGTATGCCCTCGACCATTTCATAAGGTCACTGTAGCAATAGCGCCATTAAGATTACCGGTCCTTCACCTGCCTCCTCAAGGGGAACGTAATCAACTACATCCATGCAGGAGGCAAAGCTCACCGTGTTCAAAATGAGCGCGACGGCCCGCAGGACCTGATCGCGCGCACCCGAAACCGTGATCGTACGCTCGGGATCGCTGGGAGTAAGCTCCGAAAGAGACTGCACCCGGATGGTTGAGCCCGAGTCACCGATAAAGTCGCGCACCGTCTGTCCCTTATGGCCAATGAGGAGGCCACAAAGCCTGCGGGAAAGCGCAAGCTTGACCTGTGCTTGACCCTGCACAGAGAGGATATGCAAGGAACAACCCAACAATTGCATTCAGTAGAAGTTGCCGATACAGTGGCTTGAGGAAGAACACGCCGCCCGGCGGCTTTATAAATAACACCAAACGATCCGGTTACAGACCCCCTCCACCCACCGCCTCTTCCGGCTTTTTGGCGCCTCGCTTGACTCCATTAGAAGACGCACTCGCATTTGCATCGCGCGATATCTTCTCAAGGATAAGGAAAATGGCAGTCAGCACAGCATGAAGAGAACCCGACAACAGCAAGACGCGGTCCGAGGTTCCTGCAAATCACAACAAAAGAAGTTGATAATAGAACAACATTATCCTGGGTTCAGGTTGCTCCAGTTAAGTATGCAGGTAGTCACTCAGATCGATCGCCACAACTTGCCTGGGTAAAACTCGCCGGCTCGTGAGAGCTGTACACGCGCTCCTGATGAACGTTGCAGCTGCTCAATGTTCGCACCGGCCTGCGCGCAAAGGCCAAGGAACTTCAGTGCACGGCCACCGGGACAAAGGACGCCCAGAATACGATACGCTCGCCTTTCCAATCACAGAACCAGCAATCGAGTTGGACACCAATAACTTGGCAACAACTTGCTGTGTGCCCGTGGGAAGGTCCCCCGATGATGAGCCTGCGCACACCGAAGGGAAGCAAAAATTTGGACAACTGTGCGTCGATTGCCGTGGAGACCCCACTCTCTCGCGCACCTGCAACATACTTATCAATATCAGGAACCTCCACGGCCGGAGATTGCGTGTCCGCCTGCGTAGAAGAGGAGGCATGCTGAGACGGGTTGGCCGCTCGTGCTGTTGCGCTTCAGAAGACGCACCTCGGCCTCGCTCATGCTGGCTATATAAGAAAAGGAAATAAAAAGGGTGGAAAAGCCGTGTGAAGATGGCTGGACGACGTCCAGAGGAAGGAGCTAGGTGAATGGAGTTGAGAGCGGGCGCAGGCAGCAAAATGGTCCCGGTGCCGTACTGTATCGTACTTTACAGAAATTTCAGTAACCTGCTCAGGTGGCGCTTTATTATAGGAAACTTAATTACTATCAACGAACAGTTTTAGCATTCATCAGTTTTTTAAGAGGTGGCATTAACGACCTATTGCTGACCCACGGTCGACCCAACTGCAAGCCGATTTGCAGTTAACTCAGTTCAGGATAATTAACTACAATTTTTGGTATTTACCCTTTACCCTATAGTCACTTAACGCTTACAGCAGCGGTTATCTGCTACGGTTGCAACAACAGTTTGTTTGTATTCACTTCGCAATGCCCCGTCTCCATGTGTAAGGACAGTATAAACTTACTAGATAACTTGGCAGCGATTAAACCAGCAAGTCGTCAGTAACATTGGAATGCCGGTCAAGCCCACAACTGGCGTCTCGGAGTGAGCGCATCGAGCATGGAGGCCGCTACGTGATCACAGGAATCTGCATAGTTACAATGCTTAGTCAACCTGCGAAAGTAGTAACCTGGATGGGCTGAGCCACCACCCGCGAAACCTTTCAAGTTACGTCGTGGCTGCCCTGTTTTTGCGGAGTTTCGTATTTCTATTCAACTCTGTACGTCCCACCCTCCATCATGCTTAGCATTGGTGTTACGCGGATGTTTTGCAGATCACAGCCCTGCACTGTGTTTATAGCTTGTCGCTCGGTAGTAATCTGAACGTTCATGTGCTGGAAATGAATTAGGACTGCCAACAAACCTAGGATTGGAAGGTGTGCCCTCTGACCCAACGCTTCGTGACTGATACAGTCTTGGATCGTCCTCGGATAACCCTCAATCCGAGATGTTGTCTACCCTACAGTCCCAAGCAACCCAGGCGCGGCACGGTCAGCCTGGGTTGCTTGCCTGCTTGGGGCTCCCAGACCGTCCGGCAATGGGTCAGCAGTACTTTGGCGACTCTTACAAACGTTAAAGCCGCCCGCGTGAGGCATTTCACTGTACTGCACAGCAATAATAAAACGTCATTTAAATGCACAACACGTCAGCTAAGCACGCAGGGACACACGAGACACACAGCCGTCGTCAAATACGCACCCATGAGTATTAAAAGCGATGCGTTATGTGTGGACGAAAGTCTTGATGCAGCTCATTCTGACAGAACTGAGTAACTGACCCATGAAAGTGCACAGCAGTCCGCTCAACGGACAGGACGCACATCCTGCTAACATCATGCAGGCCAGCGGATGCAGCATGAGGTAACAGGATTGGCATATTCCCGATCGGTGCTTGCAATGTCATCCTGACCTTTCCGGTGGTGTTAAGGTTATAAAAAAACCTATAAAGCATCGACAAGTATATCGGCCACTGAGCCTGCGTTGAGCCAAAGCGTCGAAGGGCAAAATCCAATCCATGCTATGAGGCCAAATGCCACAGACCCGGCTACTTCGAACAGTTAACCTAAAGCAAGGAGGTAAAAACGACTCCAGACAATAAACCCAGGTTGCTGAATCTGATGGAAAAGGCAGGGGTATCTCGGGGGTGTAGGCTGTCTGGCATATCCATCCAGCATTAAAGGATGATAGCGGGTGCCGGAACAGAGTCCTTGATCTCCTTGTGGGGCAGGACAACAGCTCCATTGAGGTACAACTCGTCCTGCGGCACATGGACAAAGGATGGGTTAACGTTGGTCCATAAACCCCGGAATGTTCCAAATCCATCGCACCTTGCACTGCACGTCCTCTCCGAGCACGCAATGATTCTCCAGTCGGCTCCAAGCACCCACACGGCTGTCCCAGCCAATGATACTCAGGTCCACCTGCACACGGCGATTAAGCGCATCGCACCTCGTGAACACCCCAAAGCCAAGAAACAGGAGAACCTTCTGAGAAGAAAATAGCATTTGAACGACAAAGCTTGGGGCGTGAGCAAAAGTAGTTGGCCGCGCACCTTGGTGTGGTCTTTGATTTGCACGCCCCGCATGATGACACAATGGCTGAGACGCACGCCGTTGCCGATGACACATCCGGCGCTAATAGACACGTCCGGACTGAAGGAGCGATGGGGAGCAATTCATGTCATGCATGGGGCGAAATACGCACAAGGATAAAAGGCAAGAGTACCACAACATGTATGACGAACATACGTAAATTAAGTAGCGTAGCAGACAGAGCATGCAACAGTATAGGGAAGGCACCCACGAAACATGTAGACGGGTCAGTGGCTCTGAACCAACCTTATCCGATTACCAGCCTTACCCGATTAGGCATCCCTCCCCAATTTTGGCGGTTGGGTCCACAAGCACATTGCCGGAGATGCCAGGGCCATGCGCCAGGAGGGACGACTGCCTAATGGCCATCGAATCCAGGTAAAGATGGAGGCCTGCAGTTCGGAGCAAATTACGGATCCAGTGCTCGCCATACATCAACACGAATGAAAATACCTGCTGCCCGGGGAATCAAAATCACGGCCACGTCGAGCACCCAATGTGCAGGATACATGCAATAACAAATTTGCAAGCAGATGTGCGCACCCTTCAGGTAGTCTTTGGGTTGGCCGACGTCCATCCAGTACCCGTTGAGAGTGTAGGCATACAGCATATTGTCTGCGGCCACGTGTGGGAAGACCTCGCGTTCGATGGATGTAGGGCGCAGCTCGATACGCTTCAGGATAGACGGGCTGCAGACGTAGATGCCCGCGTTAATCTTGTCACCCACGAACTCCTGCAAGGGGAATTGTCCAGACCCTTTTGATTACGCTTCAGGACAAGGCGACAGAACGCGATCATTTAATTGCTGCCGAGGCATCATATCTACGGAGAACACGCCGCCTTGCCAAAATTACGTGACGTCGAAGCAGGGCGCATGTTGGGTGCTGTCTCCCGACGAGCTGAGATGAAAGCAAGCAACAAGTTGAGGTGGTGGAAAAACAATCGTATCCATGTCTCTTGTGACGCGCTGTGATGCATTGCTGCCTCGCGTAAATGTTTTGAAGCCATGCCGGACGATGCTGCATGAAGCCATGCAGGATGATGATGAGGAAACATGGCGAGGATGTTCTAAGCACGCAAGGAAGCAGCTGGCGTGTTAGGAGAAAGCCAAGACGCACATCTTCCTGAAGGATTGAAGGCCAATAAGAGTTTCCCGAGAAGATATTAAGAAAGTGGAGAATGGTGGTGTACGAGCCAATGCCGCATATAGAGGACGTTCGTGGCGAGTTCAGAGTCGGCGGAAAGGGATGCAAACGGGAGGCCGGAGAATCTTAGTGGTTTATAAGCCAAGCCGGAAGGCATGTCAATGTCAGATCACTGGTATGGACCACAATATTGACGCTTGACATGCATTTATTGGACATATTTTCAGAGCTTAATCGTATTGTCCTTGGATTATAGTATTAGATACTAATGCTCCAAGAACATGCAATCACACCTTTGGCTTCTCCACGAAGCGCTGCACTTGACCGTACTCGTCCATGACGACCACGCCGTACTTCGTCGGATCATCGACCTGTTCAGAAAGAACACACTTGATGTGCGGCCTTACGTGCAGATCGTCTACGTGTGCCACATCCACATCAAGAATGTTACCGAGGCAAGGCCATAAGATAGCATAACCGAACAGCAATCTTTGCCATATGCCAATTCCTTCGCAGTTGCATCAACTTGCCAACCCAAGAACTCCGCTTTCAGCGGGCAAAGCCTTGAGCAGAATGAATGCTGTCTCTCGGCCGGCTCGCGCTCAAGGCATTGTTATCCGGCTATAACCGACCCCCTCCTCAAGGAAAAACACTTCACATAACTGTTGGCTTTGGCGACGCCCCACGATTCTTCATATATACCACGACTGCATTGAACCACCCCATGGCCGCACCTTCGTTACTAGAATTGTCGCCTCAGCACCTCGGGCCTTATGGAAGTCCAACATATCCTTGAGGGGGTAGTCACAAATCACATCGCTGACGGCAACCCAGAAAGTCGGAAACAGAAGGAGCGAGGAGCGAAAGCCAACGTGAGTAGCGGTACGACGGAGTTAATGGAATAGGACCTCAAAGGCCACTAATGCCGGAGGATCCCTCAAACTGACGTGCGAAATGATAAGAAACAAATTATTTGCCCATGAGCTACGCCAAGCGGATCACGAAACAACCCACCTGTTAAGGACAAAGAATGGCGTGCCTTTGCCATCATCGAGGGTCTCACGCGCCAGGGCGAGCGGTCCGGCAGTCCCCATGGGCTCTTTCTCCTGCACGATGCCGTGGGCAACACCTTCATAGCCTGTATGCCTTCAGCGTGATGCTCCTTAAGGACGGCTTCGGTCAGGCCAGTTGCATGGGCACGCCCGACTAAACCCTCCCATGACCACAAAAGAAACATCTTGAATACACACCCATTTCCAGGACAGTCTCATACCTGGGAACAGACAATTTTCACACCCAGCTTCTCCTGCCACTCTTCGATGAAGCCCATCATAACCTGGGATTAAACAGGTAGAAGACGAGTCCCACAGCAGGTGAGTTGGTGGATTAGCGTAAGGCTAGCGAAGCACGCACTGTCCACTGCCGTCATGCGCTCATACCTCGGGCTGGTAGTTAATGGCGAGGACGACCTCAGTACAACCGGCTGACTTCAGCGCCTGGGCACACAGATGAGCAAAGCTGGACACTGCATGGACCTCAGATCCTAGGACCATGTCTCCCTTCAAAAGGGCAAAGTGACATCCGCACCTCGATTTGGTGGATGATCATGGGCTTGTTAGCAAACTCCACGAGCGGCTTTGGGCAGCTCAGCGTAAGCGGACGCAGACGCGTGCCGTAGCCGCCGACAAGGATGAGGGCCCGCATTGTTGTTCGCGCGCTGTTACCGTAACGTGATCGACCAGCGACCAAGGCAGATGCCCAGCGCTTGCCAAATTTAAAATTGCGTGAAGTAGCTTGGAGCGTAAGCTCGTTACGATAGAGTTATACGGTGAAACTAGGACTTTGCTGTTGCGCAATTGATACTGGCTTGTGCGTGTGTGACTAAACTGAAACGTCTACGCTGAATACTGGACGACAAGATCAATCAGCAGAGTTAAATATGGCAGAAAATGATGGCAGTTTAGTGGATTTTGACAGGTTTCAAAGGGACACGTGTACGGCAGACATTTTTTTGACAACCCTGATCGCTGTGCGCCCAGATGGATGCTCAGCCTAGCACATCAAACAAAAATATATTCCCGTTGGATATTAAAACAATGGGGTTTATGGCATCTTCGCAACTGATTCCGAGATTCTGCAGCTCAACGTCGGACAACAGCCCTTTTGCAGGTGAAAGCAAGCCTGCCTGCCCTCTGATAATGCTGCATAAACAATAAGTCTTTATATGCCATGCTCCAAGTTACTGCCCAATTGTGGCCCATGGGACTAATTTTTCGCCCACCGGAGTGTCTCTTGCGCCAAACGCTACTGCGCATTCAGAAAGAACTTCTTAATTTTTATATCTGGGGACTAAAACCTGGCATTTTAGTTCAGAGGATTACTGCGAATTTTGTGGGCCGCCAAGTTAACAAAGCTGAGAGCAGGTTTTGGTTGCTTGCATTGCTTTTAAGCTTTTCCGTGCGGCTTAAACTGGGCAAGCTTAGGGTCAGAATTTTGGCCCCCATGAAGCCTGCACACCCTGATGCAGATGGTTCAGCGGGCTTCGTCAAATCGGGCTCCGTACCGGTGGTGTGCGTTGAGGGTCACAAGCATTGCCCAGAGTGTGTGTGTGGTTGTTACAGTGGGACTAGACTCACGAAGAGGAGAGCCACCGGGCCACCTGGCCGTGCACTGCACTAGAGACTAATATACAAACTAGACAATCACCCAGATGAGACAACTAAAGGCAATTAGACAGTCAAAACCGCGACCAAAGGGAAGGCTCAGGGCCCCCAATTATTATTGAAATAGCCCTGAGCCTCAAAAGTCATCCAATTAAGAGAATAAAAAAACATAGGTGATACCTAATCGTCCATCGGTGACCGCCGCTCTCGTGAGCATAGCAATTTGCCTGACACAATTCGCAAGAAGGGGTGATGTGCGCCAACAGAATCCCAACCTTTCCGTGGAATTCCCCGAGTAGCGAAACCCTGAAGGCGCCCCTTAAAGTCAACAACAACTCGACAAATGGCTCCTTCCGTAAGGGAAGGGCCAGGTATCAGTGCCGGGTTGTTTTTCATGTTTACAACCATATAGCGTCTCCCATGCTCCATGGCTGACACCGCAGCAAGAGCCACAACACCCCAAACACATTGTTGCACTGAGAGTGATATATTCGAAGCTTATGTTCGCGCATGCTTCTATACGCACGCACGCGCATGCAACCTCCTTGCCCCGACAGGCGTTGACGACTTCAAAAAATATATGTAGAGTATGCCTTGGGGTTTGCTAAGCCTGATTGTATTTACCTCATATTCGTATCCGGAATGGCCAAGGAACATCGCCCATGGCAGAAAACACTAAAAGAAAAAATGAGCGATTCGGGTGTGCAACAGCCTTGTTTGCATTAGCCCTTGGGAAAGAAAGGCACACAACATAAAATGAGGAAGACAGAAATTCCGATGCTTCGGGGTCTTGATAGTTACGGAAAAAACTAATGCATGGGGGTAGAGGTCGCGGTGCCACTGGTGCCTTCGACCATTACATCTCATGCACCAAACGATGAAATCCTGTTCTGGGTGTCGGCCCGCCGTGCTGTCCCAATTTGCAAAGCCAAGCCGGAAGCAATGGAAAGCGATGGCTCGGTGTGTAGAATATTGCAACATTGGATAGCGCTTGAGCTTTGCGCGTCAAACCTGACCCATTTGGGAGGTAAAGCCGGCCGCCATCGCACGTGGAGACGTCGCGTCATGCCCATGAGCACCCTTGAGGTAAACCCATAAATACAGCGCATACAGGAAACATGCAATACAGTTCATGCCATGCGGCAAATTGGACATGCTGCGCTTACAATCAGTTTCATCTGTTCACATCGAGAAAAGGAGCCGAAACCGCATTAGTTCACAGCGCAAGGCATAGAGAGGGACCAAGTGACTGAAAGCGTGCCCCAAGCAGGAAAAAGAATTAGCCACAAAGCAGCGCGACTCGCCAGCATTCACTGCTTTGCGCAGGGTACGCGTGGATAGCATCCGTGTAAAACGGCCGTTGCAAGGACTCATAACACAAAAACTTTTGGACACGTAGAACGATGCACGACTCCACGCTTGCCTCCACCGGTACCTGCTCTCAGCCAGATATGCGCCGACGGGTATCCACGATAAAACACCTGTTACATAGATTCATTAAGATCATTTGCGACATTTCAGCAAAACCGCAACGCTTGTGGCGAAGGCCACCATCATGCATGATAGAAATATGTGTGTAGTGATGCAGTACCCGACGAGCTCACCGAGCAAGCAGATGGACAACGCAGACAACACACAATATAGGACACTGTTCACATCTATAAACACTAACCACTCCAGTGCCGGTCATTGCAAGTAACGGAATAGCATGTCATGCCACCAATGCACGTTCCTCGTAGCCCAAATTACAGCTCGGTGTACGTCACGCCATTGGAGGCTTGCGTCGCCGCAGACTTGGAAATAGGACTATTACCCGGGGATGAAGAAACTCCCGTAGACAAGACCAATGGGCTGGGCACATACCCAATTAGGATACCCCCTTGGGCGCATACGTAGCCGCCCTCCCGCCCCAGACCCTGAGGCGCGCGGCGCTCCAACCATAACGCCAGGCCTATCCACCCTACAGCCAAAAGCACTAGCGGCACAATCCACTCCAGCCCGCTGCCGCCGCTAGCACGCCGCCATAGCATTATCCCGATCACAACATTGACACCGGCCATCAACGCCAGGCCTCGCCCGGTCCACCAGTGTACCAGGTTCCACATCCATCTCCGAGGAGTGTCGGGCTTGGGTCGCAGCATAGCAATCGCGATGTGTAGCCCGACAATTACCATCAGCGCGATGGCGAGGGTCATGTGGCTCTCCAGAAGCAGATCGGAGGCCATGCTTTCTTCATGATCGATACCCATGACCTCTTCTTCATCCTTGGAATTAAAGCTTGTCCACGGCAGGATGAAGCCCGTGACGATGAGCATGACGGCAACCATCTGCAACCAGGGCGGACAGCGCATGGAACTCTTGCAAGCGTTTCTCTTCATTGTCGACGTTTGCAATGCTCGCTTGCAAGTGGCAATAGGTCTGAGGTAACACCAGCCTCTAGGTTCTGCCTGCAACACCAGCCCAGAGCTAGTTAACAAGTGATGGCATTATGCCTACCTGGACAGCTCGATGAACCTGAAACCAGAGGCCAACGATGCTGATGGGCGCAAATACCCAGCGGTGGCGCGCGGCAAAGATACCGATGGGTACCAGCACGATCCAGCCTGTGAACTGCAATGCCCCATGGGATCGCATGTAGAACAACCGCTCCTGGAGTACCTCGTCCGACGGGCCGCTGCTCGTATTGGAAGGCCGCCACTGTCCGTCATCTGGGCCCCCAGCAGGAAGAGCAAAATTCACCTTGGCACTGCACAAGTAGTCCCTGCTGAAGCTGTGAGGCATGCCGAACTTGGCCCTAGATGCTGCGTCGCCAAGAAGTTCGTCCATAGGGCACGGCGGGGATATCTTGCACATGCATGGAAGGGCGTGCGTCCAGGGTACAGTACGTCACAGAACATGCGCATGTGCAGCTCCATCCTGCCACCTAATTTCACGCCTTTACAATCGCCAACCGGCAGTCATGCTCCGTTGCATCGATACGTCAGTGTGCCGGTAATAGCTTACGCAAGCACTATTACCGGCACCGCGGGGTAAGCCTCTGCAGCGCAGCAACTTACTTTAGGGGTTCGCTGTGAGCCGGGGTTACTACTTCATAGTCCCTGATACTCCTTGCGACCTCTTCTTAAACGTTTATTAGTAGCCTCATTCTTGCCCTCACTCATGGCAATGCTAGGAGTAATGGCTGCTCCCGTCTTTCCTGGCACCAGTGCCTCCAGGGCAATGTTTTCGTTTAATCTCTTTCATCCATTCACAATCAAGTAAAAACAGCACCCGTGTCTTATGCGCAAACGGGGCCGTCCATGTCCTTGCCTGCCTGGCGGGGTTTATGGATAATCTTCCTTAAACGTTGTGTATGGGCACTGTTTCCTTTAAAAGTGGATAGCTGAAATTGGTGCCACAGGTCCCAGCGAAGACTTAGCGACCAACGGACGTGCCCAACGAACAGGACAGCAGTCTGGCGCGCTCACCCGCGAAGTTCATGTCCATGTTCTCTTGCGTCGAGAGACGGATGCCGGCGCCTTGCCCGACCTGCAGCATGGACGGGCAGCGGCGCGGCGGAAAGTGCTCGAGCCAGGTGGTACACGAAGACAGCTGATGCTGTCATTCACGTGGCGATTGCATGGATTGACACTGGCGCGGCGAGCCCGCCGTACCTGTGAGATGTTGCGAGTGAAGCAGATGGTCAGCGCTGTGCTATTGGCCTCAGCGCGCGTGTTGGTGACGGTCACGGTGCTGTCCGGCAGCACATGGCTCGCGTCCTTGCCCTGACGAAGAAATAGGTGCGTTGTTGCATAGGCATTGGGATGTGGGGTGCAGAAATGAGTAGGATATGAGCGTCCCTGCGGCTTCACTAGCACAGCGGCTCGGCGACCGCGTATCGATGGGTCCCAAGCAAGGTGTGCCCAAGCAAAGTACCCTAATTTATAACTACGCAAAGGGGCAGGAGGTTTAAGGGTAAAGGCAAAGAATAAAGGTCACGGGTAAGCTCTAACCGACGTAAGCCCAGCCGCCGAAGATACTATCACGATATACCACGAGCCACGAGTGCCGAGCAAACTACGTTGCGTGCTTACATAATGGAAGGTAGCGCTCGTATGTTAGCCGCGGGGCAAGAAGCCGTACCTACCGTAACCTTGAAGGCAGCGATGCTATAATTTCCAGGGGAGCTGGGGATTTGGAAACCAATCACCGCGTCTGCGGGGCTCATCCTCCCTCCCTTGGTCGGCCAGCTCAGGGCTACATACTCCGTAAGATCCGTCTGAAGTGCTATGTGCAGCAGCTGGGACGAGTGGTCCGGCGCCGCCTGCAGGGGCGCCACGCAGGATGCAACGAGTCAACTCAACTGCTGTAGGACCATGCTTTACCAAGGTCAGGCCGGGCCAGGCCAGGGCGCCGTTGCCAAACCAAGGCGAATATGGGTCACATGCGCGTTGTGCTAGGGCTAGCGATGTGCCTGACAGAGGCTAATTTTCTGTCGCCCAGTGTCAAAGGAAACCGTACAAGGTGCCCTTTCGCAGCTGGCTTATTCATGCGGGCCCAGGCGTTCAGAGATGCGCTCACGGCGCCGCCCGCGTCGCGAGACAAACGCTGCATAGAGAACAGGAAGGCCATGAGCACTCGCAAACGGCCTTGCCATTCATGTCGACAGTTCGCTTGGTCTGGCAGTTTGGAAATCATCTCAAAGGGCCCTGCAACGATGTGAGGGTGGGTTCCCCGAGAAGTGCAGCTGATTGGGTCTAAAGCACTGATTGGTTCTTCGCCACATGGCGGCACACGGCGTTCGTCCATCCGGATTTGGCATCGCATCCCATTTTCGTACACGCCTTGTGCTATGACGTACGCGCCGTGAGACCAGCTGGGTGTTAAGCTGGCTGTACACAAACATGGTTTCGCACCGTTTCAAGGTAGGTGCACCCAACGCCTGAGGGGGGGATGCCGCCCAGGCTCCAGTGAATACGGATTCGCCCGCAGACCTGCACGGGGAGCCCCTTTTGCCAGGTTAGCAAGGAGCGGCTGAGGCGAAAGGAATGTGCACTGGATGCATCAGACATATATGCAAAGGGAAGACAAATTTGCGATAGTAATACGCCCGGGATCTAGGTAGAAGCCTTATAAGGACAGCCGGCACGTGCCCCCACGCGTCCGCGCGTTAGTTAGCCTTGTTGCCCCCACGAAGACCGCTGCGGACATGCGCAGATGATAGTTCCCGAACATTTGTATTCATTGCCGCGATGCATTCTCGCGATGGCGCTGCCCCTTGCGAAGGCCGCCTCACCAGCTGCGTGCATTGGTATCCGAGCCATGAGCGGGCGCACAAGTTATCGCTTAAGTTGACTTGCAATTGCCTATCCTGAAATCTTGTCGAGGCTGCTAGCTGCAAAACCTCCCTGCAAAAGGCGTGGGAGGACAAGCACAAACGCAGGCGCGGGCCCCCAAACTTAAAAAACCAAATAGTAATATGCATGATAAGCAGACATAGATTGTACGAGGCACTCGATAATCGAGCGCTGTCAGGGGCGGCGCGGTCTCCTCCTACACCATATACCTGTGCGAGTCGCGAAAGCTTTGTGCTGTAGATGGCGAAAAGAAAAATGAACTTGAATATAATAACACAATAATTGCGTAGGTTTGCCGGAGCATCTGTCAGGCGACTCAAAGTCTCAAAGTCTCAAAAGCAGTAACACGGAGTTCCTCAACGACGACGCATCTCCGTCCTAACCTCCAATAATAAATGGGAATCGAAGTGGGAAATTTGTACAGCCATTTCATGTAACGCAAAAGCACTGAAAGGCCCTGTGCGATGGCCCAAAACCATGCCGTACGCGTGCTGTGGATGTTTGCAGCTGATTATCTGGCGTGACTTGATTTCTGCGTCAGTTACTACCAAGGCTTTACTTCATTTTGCATTCTTTTGTTTGTTTCCAGAACGAGCGGCTAGCTTTTTTTGCTCGTATTGGCCGTACAAGATCGAGAACCTTGAAACAATAATGCCTTCCATGATGCCTAGCATCAAAGCAAGATTTTGTGTTTAGCCTACTATAGCAGCTGCGTGCATCTTAAGTCGAATGCTGCGTTCCTAAGTTGTTTCCTTTGGATATAATGCATCTCAAAACTGCCATCGTTGGACGTGACATTGAATGACATTGATTGGTGCAGCATGCGCCAATTTGCATTAAGACATGCATCTAGCACATCGAATCACATGCCACGCTGCCAGGCCCAGGTTCTAAAGCTGCGTGCCTTGGAAATGGAAAATTGAAAGTACACGGAATCGGATTTCTGGTAAACGAAGCTTAGTATGAGGTAATAACAATGTCCGTAGGCCGTGTGGATGCAGACGCTTCGATATGGCTGGGTCTAAAAGACGTACGGCGGAGGTCAATTTGAATGTGGCAATTTTCAAATGCCGCATGTATGTCATAATTTACCATTAACGATAAAAGGTTAATATTTTTGATGGCAAAGGCTACAGATGCCCAGTCATGGGCAAACGTCAAGGCGCATCCCAACCTCTTAGTTGGGGACACGTCGGACAGCATCCTTTGCAATAAGCTAAAGCTTTTAACCTACAAGTCCTTATCCTGCCTCGTTGCCTGTCGCGGTAGCTGCTTCATCTGCTTGAGGTCACGTGTTACGAGCGAACCTCGCGGCTGGGTTCACAGCGTTGAGTATATGCGCGGTCCAAAGCTCCAAACTAAGACGAGAAGTAAAGCAAGTACGAAAAAATCTGAGACAAGAACCAGCAAGAGGTGGAGGTAGCAGTCACGAATGAGTAGCCCAAACGCGTATTAAACAAGTCAAATTTACTAAGTTACTTTATCATCAAAGTTTCCCTCATATAAATTTGAAGTGTTACTAGCCAACCAAAAATTGGGCCACTCATTCTTGACTGGTACCAGGAGGAAGATAGGCCGACGCAGGAAGCAGAGACATTTTTAAGAGACCGCAAAGCTTCGAATATTCAGCATAAACGTTTGAAAACAAACGCAAACGAGAAGTCGGCGACCAGGACGACACAACCCCCTCAGAAGACAACCTCGGCACAACACCACCTCGACCACAACAAAGTCGCTAAACAGTACCAGAACCTCGGCAAGTAACCAGAAAGTATACCGCACGGACAACAAGAATCCGGACACTTATTTACACCACTCACCTCCGCCTTTATTCCTGGCAGCGCACCCCGAGCACAGCCGCAGCGCACTCCACAAGTCAGCCCAACCCAGCCCAACCCAGCCCAACCCACCGCGTTAAAGCGTGGAAAGCAGATGCTTCGTCTTGGAAGTCCGCAGGAACGTTCAGTAAACCTACGTAGTACGGAGGGATGCCCAGCGAAGGGTCGCCCAGCCCTTCCAAAAGCTGCTGCCATTTCGGACTCCGCCTTTGGGGGAGCAAAGCAGTAAGCCCTAAGCAACTTGGAAAGCACAGACAGGAAAGGAGTCCCGCGAGGCTTTAGGAGCAAGAGACTGGTGAGGTCGTGGACTACCGTTGAGGGGTCAGCTGGTGTTGCAAAGCTGGAACGACGAGTGTTTTTTGAGACGGCTTTGCGAAAAAAGTGGGAGACCCGTAGAGCCTGAGGGGCCCTTGTCAGCAGGACAGACACACAGTCCACCCGATCGAGGGCCGAAGATGCTGGCAGAAACGCCACTGACGGCGGCGGCGGCGGCGGGTAGTGCTTATGCTAATGTTGCTGCTACTAATGCTGATGCTGATGCTGCCGCCGGTGGTGGTGGTGGTGGTGGTGGCGAGACTTCAAGGACTGCACGGTCACAGACAGTGTCAGCAGCCTGCAGCTAGTGCGCGCCCGGGAATCCCGGGGCTGGGTAGAGCACTGACTTGCCGATAACCCGTATCCAGCCATGGGGTTCCCCTTGTCCAGTTTATAGTCCCATGTGCATAGGTGTCCCGTGATTTTGGTACGGCCTTGGTACGGCCTCCCGTTGGGCTATGGTCCCTCCGGACCGTTCCGCGCCGTGTCGTCCCTCTGAAGTCCCCAGAGCACAGGCGGCTGACCAGGTTAGTTGGGGCGCCATGATGTCGGGTCGGGGCCCCAGTATGCCCGTGTCCGCTAATAACTGAACAAGCCCGGAACGGTTGTTATGAAAGTGGACTTCTTATTGGGACCAACGCATCTTATTGGGGTGCGTAATTTTAATTTGTGCTGCGCACCTGCACGCTACACGATGTGGCGGTCACTAGCCAACGGCGTGCAAAGGGGTTTTCCCCGGATACCCTTCCGGTTCAACTCTCCATTTATGGTGGGGGATTTGCTTATGCGCTGCCCGATTTCCTGCCTTGTCGTGAGTGCAAGTTGAATGTCGTGAAACGCTAGCTGGCTTCGTGGAATGGCCATGCTGGCTGCCTTGGTGAGCACAGTATTGCACGGCGCTGGTCGTTCACGACCTCATGCTCTTAATCCCGAGTACGGCAGTACAGTAATCGTATTGAAGTAAATGGTCATGCAAGCCTTCCGTTGTGGTCTGGATGTAAGTTGCTGCTGAAGGCCGAGAGGCCAGCAGAGGCCCATGCAATCATGCACGTGATGCCATCTTGGCAAAGCGCCCTTGTCGGTTGCAATGGAAGGCTAATGCAGTTTCCAAAAACCCGTTTGCAATTCATTGTCTCGCCGAAGATCCTGTTCATACTGCTTTCCTGCCTTCCGAAGTTACATATCACTTACCATTTTTATAGGGCTTGGCCCTTCATGGACGCACTAAAGGCGCCAGTACCTGAGACTGCCTGAGAATTACGGCATTTGTAACCGCAAGCTGACTATCAGAATGGTCCAGTGGTTGATACGTTAGGATCCCAAGCTACTATCCAAATAGCAGCAGCAATCCTTTAAAGCGGCTATAAAATTCTTGATTGGGATACAGCTAGTAGTCATTCATTGCTCCTGGGGTGAGCTGCACCCAAGCTCACCGCAGGAGCTGCCAAAGGTCTGGTCTACTTCTGATGAAAGGTCATGTTGAGTAATTCTAAACATGTGGAATCCTTTCCAGCGCTCTATTGCGTAGCGTAAGTGTGCGCCAGACCGGCCGTAGGTACGAACAGTAGGTAGGAACTGATGGACCTCCGGACTTCAGCGAAGCAAAGTTTGATAAACTAAAACTTTAATAGTAATTAAAATCCAACGCAGGCTATTCTTGCGGTCCGACTGCCCAAACCCAGGAACAACGCAGCTTTCTGCCCTCTGGTAAATTATATATTTAATATTGGCGACCCCATTCTAAACACTGATAGGTTGGCTACGGATGTAACGCTGTTTTCTTAAGTGCAGGACGTTTTGGGACGAGAGTTTGGATGTGCCCCGTACCCTACTAAGGGTCCGTCCCTGCTTTCACTATTAACTCATAGTTACAGCATGGTAACGGTATACAAGGGGGCTATGGTAGTTACCATTATGTTCGAATGATTTAGCTCCGTACTAGTCCTCTACTTACAGGCTGCCAAAGTGGACAAGGCCGCCTGTCGTTGCATCATTCCTCCTCACAACCGCAATGAAAATCATTCTAAAGTGCTGCTTGGGTCAACCTGATGCTACTGAAAGTAGTTCCGATACCCAGCATCTGACAGCACGAGCCATCACCTCAACAAGGGACCCTAGTATTAGGCGTAGGAGTACGCCCGCTTCAGGTCTGACACAAGTGAGTATTGGGCTGGCTTCAAGCTGCCATTAGTGTGTTAGGGTTGAGTTTTTACAAAAACTTCCTCCATGGCCCTCACGCAGGCTTGCGCAGTGGCATGCGCAAGCTTGCCGATAACGTCATGCGAACAATGGCCTCAACGGATTTTGAGCGCGCTGTTAAATTTGGAGGCATCGCTCCGTTGCTCAGCCCGGTGGGAAAGCCAAAGCGGCAAAGCGCTAACCCATTCCGCTAATTCCTATACTTAACATGACATCGAGTCATTTTTATCTCCAGGCTAGTCGTTTACAGCTCAGAGGGTTTGCCTTGGATCTTCGCGCCAATCGACTGGCTCGCCGAGGAGTCAGACCGACTAACTCTTACGCATCTTGCCGACGTGCTCGCGCATCAGGTAATATATCGGATGCATAAGCTGATGGGTAGCGTTCGTAAGGCGGTTATTCTGAGTCGCAGCCCCTTGCTTGTTTTACCCTGTCATGCAACACCACGGTCTGCACGTGCAGGCGGACGACGCTGTTGCCGTTGTAAGGCACTCCAGGGATCCCACCCACAGCATATGCCAGGTAATATCATGGTCTCCGGGCCAGGCGCTTGTCCTGGAGCCCGCCGACCATCTTGCGCTGCCCATCTGCCAGCCCGGAACGCACACCAGAGCGGCGCTGCTACTGAGCTGGGATCGGCCAGCTGAAAGGCCTCCCTGGAGTGGGGAGAAGCACGGCAACACTGCATTCTCGGCGTCGGATCTTAAGGAACTTCGACGCCTTGCGCAATTCCTGGGATATGGACTGCTGGGGGATCCTCAGCACGCCAGATACATGCAGCTCGTGAGTACTCCGGGTGTGATGTTGTGGTGCCGCGGCGGGTTCACGACATATGAGCCACGTGCTTGCTCCACAAGATTGTGCATCTGAACCGGTCCAAACCTCCCTGGAGATGTCCCCTCCCCTGTCCCAGAACGATAGCTTGTTGTGGACTTGTGGTTGGTTGGGTGGTGACCAGTTTCCTAATTTGTCGCTTTCAGCAGCCTTCGTTGTTTTTCGAAGCCGTTGCGAAGACCGGTATTCCCCGGATCCACGACCATATAGCGAACGTGGCATGAAGGCCTCCTCGAATGCGTACATCATGCTTGCCACTTCCGCGTCGCCAGCACCAGCGCCAGGGTCAGCAATACGAATCTAACGCGCTGATGCCGTACTTGCCGTGGTACAACTTTGCGTGTCGTTTAGGTGTGCCGGAGTTTGGCACTCATGCCCTCCGCTCCCAGCCTGCACGACCTCATCTTGACGCTGCTGGACGGCATCCACGACCTGCTGCTCACCAAGTTTGGGATCCAGTTCCAGCCCGTACTCGCTGCTGTACATGGAGCCCCGGCGCCCGCCGTGCTCTTTGCGCAGCGGCCCAGCGGCGGTGGTGGCAGCGGCTGCTGCAGCGGCGGCGGTGGCGGTGGTGGCGGCGGGCTGTTGCGCATGTGTGGTTCCGATACACCGGCACAGATGGCGGCCCTGCTCCAAGCCTACGGGTCGACCCCCGGTGGGCCCTCACCTCGAACGAACGGCGGTGCGGGGGCAGGGGCGCTGGACACCACGCAAAGCATCGGCACTCAGCTGACTGGCAGCGGCGGCTGCACGCGACAGGATCCCTCGCGTGTTCGTGCCATCAAGACCTCTCTAGCTCACACACTACTGCTACAAGCTTCCAAGTACGGCGTGCGTACGTACTATCGTAGTATTACCGTGCTATAACGTACAATAGCGTCGACAGAGCGGAAGGCCTTGTCGTACTGCCGCCCTCCTGCCCCTGTAGCACTCTGGTGGTGGATGGGTAATTGGTCGCGACGGTGGTGTTCTGCAGGCGGAGGCTATTTGCGGGTGGTGGTTGTGGGTGTAGCTGTGGTAGCTGCTATTGCTGGGACAGCTACGCGTTTAAACGCGGGCACATGGACCTTTACGTCTGGCATGAGGCTCCGGGGTTGTTGCCGGGCTGGGAGAGGCGCCCCGCCGTTAAGACGCACGGACACGCTCCGGATGTGTGTGTTTTGCTGCAGGTCAACCTGTACTTCACCGTCGCCAATGCGTGAGGCAGCTGCCACACGGGATGCATCCTGCCGTTTCAGCCAGCGAGCGAGCACCAATGATGGCGGATGCTCGCGGGCGGTAGGTCCGGCTGGGGGTCGGGTCGCTCCTGCCCTGGTGCTTGCTAAGGGCGTCCAACAAGAACACACAAAGTACAAGGACTCACAGATCCCTCCGCCCCACCTCTCGGTTGTGCACTTTGTACGGCACAGGATCTTGCCAAGTCGAACATCAGCGGAACCTCGAATGCCCGAGGCTGCTTCGCCGCCGCCGCCGCCGCCGCCTCCATGCGATCCCCAAGCCGTACGGCCTTCATTGCGTCGGTCATCGTCCCGAACGCCAGCTCGCACGTGCTCGAGGACCAGCAGCCCTGCCGGGATGTACTCGTGTGCAGCAAGCTGGCAGGCGGGAAGGTCGGCTCGATTCTGCTCATGGCGGAAGCTGCTGCAGGACCAACAACACCGCTGGAGCCGCACCAGCAGCTACCTATGATGCAGCAGTCGCCTCTTAGTGCAACAAACCCTAAGTGCAATAGCGGCGGTGCCGCTGCGACGGTGGTGGGGCCGCAGACGCCGCCGGAAGCAGCGGCAGGTGATGCAGACGCAATGGTAAGCACAGCTCGCAGTAGCGGTGGTACCGGAGGGCGCAGCGGCTCGGTTTTGGCGGCCACGGCGCCATGGGCGGCTACGGCTGCTGCCGATGCACGGCATGTGCCGTACCAGCTGGCGCTGTACCTAATCTCGAGCGAGTTGCTGCCGGCAGGAGTATTGAAAATGATCGCGGATGAGCTTCAAGCGCTGCTACCGGTATGAGGGTTCACGTGCGGCCCGCGTCTACATCAATACGGACCGATGCGTTGAGAGGGATTGCGGATGATACAGGATGGTAGCCAGAAATGCTGAACGGGGTTATATTCCATCCTAGCTGGTGGGAGGCAGCTCTGTTTGGTGCCGGTTCGCGTGGGGTTAGGCGCCACTGCTGCCCCCCTACAGTTAAGAAATATTATGTCAGCCTGATCTGTGGAATCGCTCCTTAGGGTTTGGATGAAGGGCTACCCCCTCTAAAATGGAAGGAAACGCTGCCGCACCCTGATGGTGAAGGCTCCATTGCAAGGGTCCCTAGGCCCCCTAAGAGCCTACCAGCGGAGCTTCCTTTTGCCGTTTACTATAGCCGCACGCTTCCCATGGAGGTAAGGATATGTATAATGTGCGCCGGCAGGCGGCAATGACTTGCGGCAACTGGCCATTGCCGCCTCCTCCTCCGGGCCTCCCATGACCCTCGCCCTTGCACGTGTCCTTGGTGCGACTCCACGAAGATGTTCTTCGGGACCTGGCGAACGGCACTGTCGAGCTTCGAAACCAGCAGCCTAAGTTGCATGGCGGCGGACTGGCGGCGCCTTCAGGAGCAGCTGCTGGGCCAGCCCTTGGGAGTGGGTGACGGCACTTCCATCGGCACTTGTGGCATCGCTGGAATGACCCGCGCTTCAGTCGCGGGCGGCTGCGGTAACACTGCCGCCGCCGCTGCTGCAGCGGCGGCGCAGCTGCCGCCGGCTCTGCCGAACCCAATACTCGAGTCCGCCAGCAACAGCCCTCTATCTCCCGTCGCCGCAGCGCGATCAGCTGCCTCGACCCGGCTGTTCAAATGCAGTGTTCCAACGTCACCAGTGCCGGCGCCAGTACCGGCCAATAACGCTGCCAGCACGCCGCCGGCGTATTGCAGCGGCGGTGGCGGCCTACTGCCGTCAGCTGCGTGGGCGGCGTCCCGGGACCCTCTGAGCCGCGATGCCGCCGTAAGCAGTCAGGGCGGCGGGTCGATCAGAAAAGGCTTTCTGGCTCTGCTGACGGCGCGGGATGACTTGCAGTACGCCCAGTCGATGCCCGGATCGGCGGCGGCGGGGAGGAGGGACGGCTCCTCCCATGGCGACAGTGGCGTGCGGAGCTTGGGAGCGGTATCCGGAAGACCGCCGTGTAGTCCCACCACCGACGGCCCTGCTCTGATGGCGATGGCGGCAGCTTCTGGCACCCGTACAGGTACCATACTATAACTTTGCCTAGGAAAACATATGCATATGTACGAAGAGAGAAGAAACATAGCCAACGAGAAAGAGCTATTGTCTAAGAGTAGGGACTTGCTGTATCAGCGCTCGCAACGGAGGACGCACCTCTACGTCCGCGCTTTCCCCTTGGCCGCGCTTAGCCGCTGGTCACATAGCTTAATGTTCCAGCCTGGCAACCTCCTTGCTCTCCTTCCCTTGGCCCAGCCCTTTACCTTCACCTTTTCCCAAACTGCCCCACCCTCGCTTCCCTAACCCTCGCTCGATCCAGTTCCCATCCCCACCTCTTCCCGCTCGCCGCAACGTGTCGCAGGCTCCGCCACGTTGCCGCTGCCCCAGGTGGGCAGCGGTGCCGCTGCCGCCTTACTGCACCTGGACTGGGCGCCCCGGGTGACGCTGGAGAAGCCCGCGGGGGCCGCCGCACTGGACATGCTCATCACCAGCATGCGGCAGGGACTCACCGCTGCGGGTGCGGACGAGCAGGGCGAGCAGTGAGTTCTGGGAACCACGCGCGCGGGTGCAGGCATGGAGGGAAGGCGGGCCGGGGGGGATCCCGCGGAGGGAAGGTGGGCGGTTCAAGTTACTGTCCGCCGGTTTGTATGAGCTTGGGGATCACGGCGTCTCAGGAATCCTCAAGCACCGCTTCAACCTGAAGGCGGAAATTCCGTTGCTCATCTCGTCATGGGCAGCAGGCCTCCGAGCCGCATGGTAGATGCAAGTCCGCCCTTCGCTTTCCTTGACCCTTCCCCGCCCTTCCCTTACTTCCTCCTCATTTCAATTCCGCTTTTTCCTTCCTCCTTCCTCACCTCAGAGCCCTTCGAGCCCAGGACCTGGCCGCGGTGCAGCTTCTGGAGGTGCTGGGACGAGGAGGCCAGGGTGTGGTCTTCCGGGGCAGTCTACACGGACTGGAGACGGCGGTCAAGGTGCTCACGGACCCAAGCTGCAGCGGTGCAGGCGGCGCTGCTGGCGGTGGTGGTCCTGGTGCTGGTCCTGCAGGGGAGGCGCGCGGGGCAGCGGCTGCGGCGGCTTCAGCTGCGGCGGCGCAGCCGGGGGCACCAGCGGCGGATGGCGAGGCTGCCGGCGCCCGCAGCGGCAACGACACTTGGAATGTGGACACCAAGGCTGGGGAGGCACGCATGCGCCAGGTGGGTTGAGCTGGAGAGATGGAGGGATGGAGCAGACCGCGCCGTACGGGTTCCGTACGGGTTCCTTGAGCACGCCTACAGCTTTTCCAGGCTGTAGGAAAGGTTGGAAGGGGTAGGGGCCCGGTGGGTATGGAGGTACGGGCGACTGTATGAGGTTGAAGTAATGCACAGCCACCGAGGCACCTGCTCTGAGGTGGGAGGAGTAACGCTAACCCGCTATTGTGGAATAAACTGGGGCAGTGACGGTGCCGGGGCGGTGACCTCTCTGGGGCGACTCCGGACCGGAGCTTGGTAGGTCCTCCTTGCCATTCTTCGCGTAGGTGCCTCGTTGTTGGCTACCGTTGCTGCTACTGCTGCTGCAGCTTGCGTACTGCGGACGCTGGCTCGACCGGTGATGCTGTTGCAACTGCTTGTGCTAATTCTAACGCTAATGCTAATGCTACGGTGGATGCTGATGCAGGCCAAGCGAGGTGCCATGGAGGTGGCTGTCATAGGCACCCTGTCCCACCCCTCCATCGTCCAGGTAGGGAAGCGCATGGGAGCGCGAATGTGCCGGTAGGGAAGGTGGCATGTGTGATGGGCCCCCTCCACAACCTCCATCACCTACTCCGCCCCTCCACAACCTCCATCACCTACTCCGCCCCCTCCACAACCTCCATCACCTACTCCGCCCCTCCACAACCTCCCTCACCTACTCCGCCCCCTCCACAACCTCCCTCACCTACTCCGCCCCCTCCACAACCCCCCGCTAACGGCTTTAGGTCTATGCGACATTTTCCGGCGTGGTGGTGGTCCGGTGCCAGTACCACGACTCCCCCCACACGGAGATGCGGCTGTGCTATCCGGGTGATGACCTCCTGGCAGGGAAGGATCCAGGTACGCTGCACCTTGTTAGTGGACTTGTTTACGTGTGAGTAATGAAGATACGAGGGCTGAAGATAATCTGAATGCGGTCCCGGCCGGGGTTTGAACTGGAGATTCGATGCTTAATGTTCATGGCTATGTGCATCGTTCATTGTGTAACCATGTATCACTATTGAGGGCCTCGAGTTCATTGCCCATGTCGGGTCGGAGGGAAAGCCACGCTTTATTATTACCAGAAACCTCCGCATCGCGTGACTTGGTAAGGGGATATCCGACACTCACTCAAACTCTCCACCGCCCCCTTGCCTTCCCAAACACATCCGGCTTCTTCTGCTGCCCGTCATCGTCCCCCCTCGCGCCATGCCCCCCGCCTGCTGCGGTAGGTCCCCTGAACCAAGTCATCTGTCTGGAGGTGAGGCCACTGCGTAACCCCCGTGAAGCCCTTTGTGGCCTTTTGTAACCTTGCGATGGTATGATGAAAAATACAGTGCACGAGTCCAGGGTGGAGAAAAAGGATTCCAGGGGTAAGGACAAGAAATTGGCTCAAGGAATGGCGTGGAGGGAGGAGATCCGGACGCAGTATAGGTTGGGAGTTCGGTCATGTGGGGTCTCCTTCAGGCCGACCAAGACTGCCGCAGTGCGGCTGCCGGCAGTCCGACTTATCCGTCACGCTATCGTCTCACTCTTCTGTGTTGCTCAAAATGTGTATATTCTGCCGTGCAGTACTGTGATGCCGGCACGTTGCTGACAGCTGCCCGAGCTGGCGCCTTCCGGCTGCCATTCGCCCTGCCGTCCAACGGGGCAGCATTCCCAGCACTTGTTCCCCTGTACAAGAGCCTTCTGGAGGTGCGTGGCGCGGGCATGGCATGATTATCCTGAGCAAACAGGAGTCATGCGTTGGTTTAGAAACAGCCTTTTTGGCTGTCGAGCACTAAGGGTTTTGTCTGTTAAACAGCACCGGCAGATTCCGTTGGGTGCGGAACCTGAGCGATCCACTGAGAAGTTGACTAGGGTGACTGGATGAGGGTGCCCCGAAATACCGGGGAAGGCAGGGTTTCGCAGGGTAGCTGCCACGGGCGAAGATATGAACCCCCTGTTAGAACAGAAGAGCACCAGCAAGCTGCCCGGAGGTCGCCTCACTAGGCAACATGTTGCTGACATTCTACCTGCTAGCCGGCCTGTAGGGAATCGATGAGCGGTAATCGTAGTGGGAGCCGAGCGTATTAATTAGCCCAAACGCGCAGACGTGCAGTCAATTGCTCCCTCCACGTTCCGCCTTCACGCACATCATCATAACCTTTCCGGCCTTGAGCTGGTGCAGACAGGCAGGCGAAACCTTAAGGATAGCCTAAACAAGCCAGCCATGCCCGGTTTCCCGAAGGGCCGCGCAATGCAACGTAGTGGATGTGGCCCTGCTCTTACCGATGCCCATGTCCGTGCCTGACCCAGCTCCCGAATTCAAATCTCCATGAGCATTTGCCATCGCAGGTTTCCCTAGCACTTCGCTACCTTCACGCCCGTAAGTTGGTGCATTGCGATCTGAAGGCGGCGAACGTCCTGCTCAAGAGCAGCAACAGGGACCTCCGGGGCTGGACCTGCAAGGTACGGCACTCATGCCCTGTACACGAGCTTTAATCCTGGTTTTGAAAATGCTGTGTGGACGTGTCAGACGTCTTAGGGGCTTCAGCGTTGAAACCCGCGCAATGTTCCCCTTGTCACATTCCTGATGAAGCCGCGCAGGGTTATTTACCGCTTGCGTGGTCCGCTGTGGCCATGGGCTTATGTCCCCCTGACTGATGGACTGGCGACGCCGCCAGCCGCCTGCCCAGCTTGCTGTCGGCGGGCCCTTTCCCTGAGGGGCACATGCTCACCCCTGGTCACCCAAGCCTGTCGCCAGGCCAAGGCTGCCCTACTGATGCTATGGTCAAAGGACGGGTCGGATGTCTTCTTTGAATGAATGTCGTTTCAAGGATTGTTGGCCCACTATCATTTATGTCGTACACTGCCTGCCGTGTGGTGACCCGCAGCTGTCGGACTTTGGGTGCGCCCGGATGCTGACGGAGACAGACCCTAAGGGCGGGGCCGACGGAGGGGGTCCCGTGGGGTTTCGTACGGCAGCTCCCGTCGGCACGCTGGCGCATATGGCTCCAGGTACGGGTTAATGGCGACGGTAATTGCCGTTACTGGTTTGTATGACATCTCTGACAACGCCGGTGGGGTTGGAAACTAGGACCGGTTGCTGCGGCCACTGGTTTGGTAGTAGGGTTACCGACTGTTGACAAGCAAGGATAACTTGAATGATCGCCATATCGGCACCTGGCCAACCTTTGTATTTCTATTTGTTTTATCCAGGATGCGAGTTTCCGCGCGAATATTGTGAACAAGGTTCTCTAGCGTGTTTTCCACATACATCAAATCTGAAAATGCACACATGGGCAGTTCGGCTGAATCTTCTCAGAGTGGTTCACATGTCGAGTTGAGCTTTGCAAGTCGTTTGTGTGAGCTTCATTTTTGCCAGCTTAGTATGTATTGCCGTTCTTTTTTTACTAACGTTCTGGCCTTACTTGCTGTCCTGCCCACACGGGGCCAAAACGTCGCGTGTTGGCGACTGGTGAATGGCGATATTCCGCAATGGGCCACCGACAACTAAAAAGAGTGCTTCATTAAAAGTAAGATCTATTGGCGGATGGGTGCCTCTCTCTTTGGATAGAGACAGAACGGTGAAGAAATTTTTTTCTGCTTCTTCTAAAAAGAATTTTAATTTTTTCTGATAAGCATGTAGTTAGTACTCGTGTCAACGTGGGATCTAATTGTCACGGGGGACCCGAATCGGAGGGGATGCGTTATGCAACTCTGCTGAATGACGGCACGCTCCCGCCCACTTGATACCTCCGTTTCCTACTTGAGCAAAAACTCGGCAAGCCATCTCCCTGTACAGCCTGCACCCCCCCATGAACCGAATTGTCTGTGCTTACCAACCTACTTACCAAATTATCTACTAACTAATTACCCAACTAATTACCTGACTAATCACTTGACTAATCACTTGACTAATTACCTACCCAACCACCCACCGTACCTACCTACCTACCTACCTACCTATCTCGTGAACGCAGACAGCCTGCTTACGACGTCTGTTGACGTGTACAGCTTTGGCGTACTCATGTGGGAGTTGTTGATGTGCACTACGCCGTACGCAGGGATGAGCGCAAAGGTGCGGTAACGTCAGGAAACCCAAGGGCAGACCAAACCATGCACAGCAGCAAGTTTGCGGGTCAGGTCTCAGACCCTTTGCGGTTCATCGGCATCGGGTATTTAAATTTGGATTGTTACAGAGCGGGAGGCTTCTGGGCCATATTTGAACACATTGTCATTTCTACGATTTATCATACCATACAGCACCATCCACCATTACCACACTGTACTACCCCATACGAACTGGAAGTCCAAGGCGGATATAAGAGGAAAACCTTGATGTGTGCAATGGGCCCTGCTACCGTACCTTGGCAACGGTACTACGATTGCCGTGACGTACGACACCAACAAGTACTCGTACCGCCCATATATGGCCTAACAGGATATTCCTCGCCAAGTCATACGACACCACCTTCGCCCCACCTTTCATCCGCTAGCGCCGCCCGATTACTGGTGAGGAACACGACACGTGTACACACACGCACGTCTCCACTTGCACACCAATGCATGCATACATGCATACATATTACTGCGCTGGGGCTTTCATGCGTGCGATGTTCTTTCCTTGAAAGCACATCAACGCACAAGCATGCAAGCGCATCTTATGTACATTGTTTTGCACCCACGCACCAACACGCACCATCAACACGCACCACGCACCAACACGCACCATCAACACGCACCACCCACCCATGCGCACCATCAACATGCACCATCAACATGCACCACCCACCCATGCGCACCATCAACATGCACCACCCGCACGCATGCCGCCCGCTGGCTTTTGCTTTGCATGACTTCGGTGTGACACCGTCGGGGCTGCGACCGCGGCTAACAATGCTTTCCGTCGCCATCCCTCGGAACGTGCATACTACAGCGCCCTCGCCGTGCGCTGCTGGTCAGCAAAACCCGAGCGTCGTCCGACAGCCATGGAGCTGGTGGGCGAGCTCGAGCACTTGCTGGCAGCAGCTCAGGCCTCCGCAGAGCGGGAGGCGCAAGTCGCCGCGGCCGCGGCTTCAGCGCGGAGTGGGACGTCGCGCGCTGCCGTCGGCGGCGCCTTTGACGGCTCACGACGGAAACCGCTGCCCGATCTCGACGGTGGCAAGGTGCTGCTGCAAGCACCACAACGACCGCAAACACCGCGTAATCTACAACAACGGCAGCTTCCCGCACCGGCGCCCACACCGGCGCTCGCGCTCGCACCTGCACCGGATTCTGCTGTTGATGCTGCTGCATCGCAGGAAGGTCTTGCTGCGGCGGCCAACATTCAGACAGCCGCCCGTCGACTGCTGTTGCAGCCTCGTGAACAGCAGCTGCAGCAACAAATGCGAACCCCACCGCCGCCGCCGCCACATCACCCGCAGGGTCAGCTGCAGAAGCAGCAGCAGGCCACAGCCGCGCCAACCCACCCAGGACGACCGAGTGTCGGGGACACACAGCTGCAGCAGCAGCGGGGCGGCCAATGTCAGGGATCCCAGGGGAAGGAAGTGGGGTCTGAAGTGCATGGCGCTTGCGGCCTGGGCAGTTTGCAAAAAGCGGGAGATTCGGTCTCCCGTACACCTACACAAGGCCCGCAGGCAGACGTGCTACCTGGTGAGGGAGGCCCGGATGTGGTCACGGCTAGTTGCGGCGAGGGCGGCGGCGGCAGCAGCGGCGGCAGCAGCGGGAGCGGTGGCAGGCTGGGCAGTCCCGAGGCCCCAGGGTCGGCAATTTGCCTGTTACCCTTTACGAATCAAGACACCGTTTGACATGGAACAGAAGGAAAAGCATGCCCTGGACTGATGAATGATGGTGTGGGCCTGCTAGCAATGACGTGCCCCTTGCCCTTGCCCTACGATGTTTTTTTGGACGGCGCTCATACGGCATGCAACGTGTACGTGTGGCCTGATAACAGGTTTGGTTACTTGTCGCTGCGGCAGCGAATTACTGGTGCAGGTTGATGATATTTCTTATTCCTTATTATTCGTTTTGCCGACAAGAGAATTTTTGGTGTGCAAGAGTAGATGTGCGCTAACAGGCTTTCCCCCTCTGCGAGCTGAGGCGAGGTGCTGATGATAAGTTACATGCTATATTAGCGATGAGAGCATGGACTTGAAGACTTGGCGTTTTCACACGCAACATTAAAGGTCCCGGACGATGCTTAGGTCATGTTCAGTAGGTTGTCCAGATCTGTACCTATGTTAGGGCAGAGACCCTTATCAAGACGATAAGGGATCAGCCCCGTAGATCAGCCCGTGGGTGCTACCCAACGCATTTTTTACGCGTCCTGCAGCTTTCGATGGGTTGTCATGCGGAATGCGTGGATACTACGTTTTCTGCTGCCTCGCCGTAGATTACTGGGGTTGGACGGCGCGCGACATATCTATGGCCTCTGGTCTTGGTTGCTCAGAACCGAATTATATATTATGTTATTGTTTCCTGCCAGGTGTACTGGTGGGTTGTACTGGTGGACATTGGTCGAATTGAGGTCTGCACACGTCTTGAGGGCAGCTGGAGGGCAGTAGCAGTATCGCTGCCGTTGCTACCGTTGCCCTTGCTGCATTGCAAGGTTGCCTTTGGCATTTGTATGAATAGCTGGACTTTCACTGCAGGCTGGAAGGTTTCCATGCTATTCTATGCATTTATACGTTCATGCGTCATGTTTCACGGACAGAGAGGGACGGCACGTGCCGGCCTCCAACCTGATTCAAGGGCCTTCCAGGCAAGATGCCGATTTATGTTATCTAAGGGTTTTCGGGTTTTGCTTGGATGCCCTTTGCTTGGGCGCCTTTCTCGTTTTGTGTTGGCCAGCAGGGACCCATGAATGAAGCCCATGGCCGCTGGTGAAAAATGATCGAAACAGTGCAGCGCGTAATGCGCGGGCGGAGTCATTGCGTTAGGGGTACTGTATTGAAGATTTCCCTGTCTAGGTGTATCATCGTCTGCCGCTCTCTGCCTGGGCTGCGCCCGACAGTAGAACTGCGATGGATGTGATTTGATTTGATCTATAACTGACGCCTTGCGGCAGCGGTATGATGGCTGGCAACCGCATGGTGGATCTGAGATCTCTCCGGCCGCATACATACCCCACGCCTGTTGTCATGCGCACCAGTCCGGTACCCAACCTGCTGATACACCTGGTTTCAACCCAATTGTGGCCGCAGTATGGCCGTTGCCGTGTGCTAGAGCTACTCCAATTACTGCCCTAAATTCTGAACTTGTGAAAGCTTGCTTCATCCTCAGTTGAAAGGAAGCTCAAAGGAACATTTAATCCCTCTAATCCCGAGCTGCAATCCAGTTGCGATGCTCTCAAGGCTTAGGGGGCGGAGCTCATGTGCGATCAAGGGGGGCCCCGCCAAGAGGGCTCTTGGATATTTTCTGTTTGTAGGTCTTTTTGTAGGGGTTTGCAGCTGTCCCTAAGGGGGTTTGCACATTGGCGCAGGCGCACCATGTGGCCATCTAGGGACCGGCGCGGCTACGTAGGGAAGGGTTGAGGCGGGCGGTGAAGGCCATGCTCACCTCGTGAATAAGCCAGGCAAGGGACGTGGGGGTGCATGCTTGCCGGTGCTGGGCAAAACACGTTGCCACGTACTCGTTCTCGAGTTGGTTATGGCCGTTGGGAATTAGTGCCTCCCCCAAGGAAAGAAGGAAAGAAACGTTGACACCTTTCACAACGGAATGTGTGAGATGTGTGCAATCCTTGCACCGTATACAAGCGATTGGTGGTGGGGTTCGCCCGGTGATCAGAAACGTGAAGGGTGCTGTGTGCGAATGCAACTCTATTTATGTTGGTGGATGCGTAGACAAATGCCTGTGCTTATCTCAGGGACGCGTAGAGACATACGTATGTAGTTGTGCGCGCAATGTCTTAAGGGACGCATAGACAACATGTGTACGTGTACTGTGCGTGCAGCTCTTGAAGGAGGCGAGTGAGTCCGCGGTTGTGAGCGCAGCGGGGAACTAACATGATACGCAATAAGCCGTCAGATAAGTTAGGTTTCAGGATCCAGAGCCTTGCGCAGCGGAGCGCCAGTCGGTGCTGGACTGCGATTTAGCTTTCCATCCTCCTTGCATCCCCTGGACGCATTACATCGTGGCGGCCGTTTGTTTATGCCTTCTCCAGGCTCTCCTATGGCCCTGGAGAATAAGGCCGACCCAAAAGTCACTGTCCACTGCAGTGCAACGCGTGCGCACGGACCCATGTACACCTGCACACACGTATACATACATACACACACCACGAACGCGCATACGTGACATTCTCACTGCTTTGGGCCAGTAATCGGGTGGCGCGATCACGCGGCTACCACGCACACGCACATACACGCGTATGCACAGCCGCAAGCGTACGTACGATTATGCACACATTCTCTGGGGTTTCCGGTCGATGAGCCTGTTTTGGAACGACCTAGGGCAGTTGACGAGATGTCGGCTGGACACTTGAAGATGACAGCTTGCAATTTTATAGTCGCACTATCATATTTAGCTTTGTTTGGATCAAGCACTATTACCATGTATTTATTAAAGGATGGCTGGTCAGTCGGATGGATTAAATCAGAAGCCGACCGCGTGGGCTGCGTTAACAGCCAGCTTCCACGGCCGTACCCGCTTCATCGTGCTGCACGACATCCTACTTTTCGCCAAAACACACATTTATCCATCGCACATCATGCGACATCACATGATGCCACATCATGCCGAATGACATCTGTATGGTAATCTATTAGTGGGTGTGGGACGGCGTGGGCACTGCACGGCTTTTTAATAACGCCTAACGTTGTCCTCTAAGTTGGGGAAATCCCTTGGCCAGCAAAGTCATAGCCGCCCTCTAAAGATATCAGCCACATCCAACCTTAAAAATTTAATACCAGGCACTCCGCTGGCTGGTAGGAGCAAAACGGAGCTCAACCCCAGTCCAGCAGGCACCCCAAAGACAACAGGGGGATAGCGAGAATCACAGATGGGGCCCCATCCATTAACGTACGAGTACTGAGCGGCAGCTCGACCTCACACGAAGCCACCTGTAAGCCACCGTCTTCCTTTTCACGGGACGGTTCAAGCATTTGGATATGCGTTTGGGCTAAAACACATCGGCGCTGCAGATCCTCTGCCCACGTGCAATCCCCATAAGCCCTATTAGTTTCTAACGGCCAGCAACATAAACGAAAGCGCATGAGCAACCGATGTATCAACAGGGATAGACATATTGGCATGCGGCAACCCCGTCCAGCGCTTGTATTTAGTCATTTTCATGCCTGGTTGCTTCCCGTCCTAGGGGAAATCGTAAGGTACTGCAGACAGCCTCTCGTTGGTATAGACACCAGCACAGACGCGGACCTCCTGGCCAACGTATCAGATACATCACTTGGCGGGCGCGGGCGGCTGGTCGATCGTCTTGGCCACCTTCTGCAGATCGGCCATCTCGAAGCGCATGACTGCCTGAGCGGTGGACGGGTCTCGAAGCGCGTCCAAGATCATGAGGCGCGCCACGTCCTGAAGGACAGAGCAATGGCACATGCGCGGGATCACAGCAGTATTGGCATATAAGGGGGGAGAACGCGCCCGGCGTTACAAAAGCGAGCAGCGCCTTGTAGCCGACTAACCGCGCCTCAATGGTCACGGTAGAAAGCAGGTGCGCAGCGAGACAGGGCCACGTCAGGTCCGGACCCGGTTGGGACGGGGCGGTACAGAAGGAACACAGTGGAACAAGTAGTACGGCATCAGGATCCCGACTTAGCGAAGCCACGGACAAGGTGTGAGGCCCACACGCCTTGCCGTGACCTTGACAAAGCACCAGGGCACTGCCATAGAGCAGGGAAGCACTACGGCACTGGGCACAGGTGATGAAATCGCTGCATTGACCGCTGGAAAGGTCCAAACACACGAAGGGCCCAAGTGAGGAGACAGATGAGGCGGGAGCCGGCGCGAGCACACCTTGACGTGTATGGATGACATGAAGTTGAGGGCCATCTTCTCCGCGCCTCGGGTCTTATCACCTCGGTCTAGCAGCCCTGGACGGAAGATGGACACGCGGGGGAAGCCCTCTTGGAGCACCGCCTGCTCTGCCTACACACACATACACGCACATACAGGGGCCATTTTACTCGCTTTGCGTCTATTGATAATTTAGACGATGTTCCCTTACTAACAAAGGGGTGCCTTCCCTATACCACGGGGGCCTAGCCAAGCGGCGGGGTCGCAGAGCACGGTGAGACGGCACACGATAAGCAGGAACAAAGGCACGCGACAACACTTAAGAGCTGGGCAGTGGACACAGAGGATCATTGTGAGAGCCAGTCGGTCATCATCCTCTCGCACGTTCCGTGACATTGCGCGAAAAGTCCATTATCCTCTGTCCTCTTAACCCGGGGATAGATCGTTTTTAAAGTTCTTCTGGACTGTGTGTTCTTTGCTTAATGCGGATTTTCTTTTTGCGTTGTTTACAAACCGGGTTTTGTTTGAGCTGTGCTAAACTATATCTATCACCGATTGAGTGTACCGCGTCTGCCACCGCCGCTGGTGTTTGGCAAGCAAGGGTAGCATCAGCATGCGCAAACGCAAAGCGCTAGACCTCAGCACCCTTTCACGTGAATTCTGACTCGCCAGAGCCCGTCGCGGTCAACAACACAAAACCCAGCATAAGATGCGCCCCTCTCACAACCGCAAACACCCTGCCCATCGTTTCCTATTTCTGCCCACCAACAGCCCCATCCTATCCGCCCATTCCCACCCGCCCGCCGAATCACCCCCACCATTCCCTTAGTCTTGGTGTAGAGCAATGCGTGGAAAAGCGCCAAGTCATTGGCGGGACACTTGTGGTTCGCGCCTTGCGCGGAAACGAGTGAGAAGTGCGGGACGCCCGTCTCCTTGGCCAGGCGTGCGGATGCAGCCACGTAGTCGTGGTCGACCTTCTTGAAGGCCTCCGCACTCCCAGCCGTCTGAGAAGGTGTTGCCAGCAGTGGCCACAGCGACGCGGTCAGTCAGTTTGCAAGTCAGATGCCAAGCGGTCATACGTCTTTCAAGGGAAGGCACGCAATCGCTTGTCCCGTTGTGCAACTTGCTGATACTGGCGGGGACCGCAAGTGCGTGGCCGTGTGGGACCGCAGGAGTTCAAAAAGTAACATGACCTAGTTGCATCCTAAAACCTGTTTCACGGCTTGCTGTAATGTGGGCTCCCGTGGAAATGCCGGTGGGCTCCCGTGGAAATGCCGGACAGAAACTGGCGGACCCGGGGCTGCCAAGGGCCTTACACTGCTGCAGACAGAAAAGATAGCAGCCCCCGGGAGTAACAGTAAGCTCCAGTAGTGATGAGGGGCAAATTGTCGGAACTGTGGAGCTGTCAAGCTAAAGAATTCATAGAATTTCGAAATGACAGGACGGAAAGCTGCCGTACGTAACCTAGCCTGGGAATACATTGACATAAGGTGACCAGCAATATAGTGGCATCTGGCGACGTTTAAAACTGCGTCCCGGGACGATTTTGTGCGACCTCGTGGTGAGAAGTAGTAGTTGGGTTCCTAGCACATGCCCTGCGACATCGGTAATCTGAGGCTTTCACGTGCGTATGGAGCACCACCCGATTGCAGCGCGCTGCCAACTTCGAGCACGTTCGACGCGGGAAACCCTTGCCAAGCAGAGAGTAGGGGTGTTAGACTTAAAACCCTATGGTGGACAAAAGCCAAGCGCTCACCTTGCGTGTTGTGCCCAGCGCGCAGAACACTACATCAGCACCTGTAAATGCTTGCTTGGCTTCTACCTCAAGCGCATCCATGTTAACCTTAGCCTGTACTAGCTCTGCTGTTCGCTCTGACTCAGCCGTGACAATATCAAGTGTTCGACGGCCGACGGTGACGACTTTTTTAAATTTGGGGTGCACAACTAGCTGATTAACAAGAGCCTCGCCCACAGCGCCTGTCGCCCCGAGGACGACTGCAGTTAGGCCGGCCGTCGTCATTGCCTAAAAATTTAACTTCAAGGACAGGATGAAGGCGCAATTGAGGTTAACTACCTGTTAACCTGCTCTCTGTTCACTCTTTCCGTTATTTCCGTTTAAACGTACAGTGCCACTTAATTTGGCGATTCCTTGACGATGCCGCAAGTGGACATTTCGTATACTTTGAGGCTTATTTCTCGCTTTTGCAATATATCCGCTACTCTCACCCTAGAGAAATGGTTGCGGTTATAGGGCACCTTTGTGGTTTCTTGTGTTATCTTCAGGGGCGCACTGGTCGTCCATTAGCATGTTTAGCTTCATGCGGCAGGCTGATGGCCTCTGAGATGCATGTTCTGCCATCCACGTCAGGCGTTGCCGTTGGGCCCTTGGTCCCTTACCGCGCCCTGGCAAGTGCGGCAAGCCCCGAGGCTGAGAAACCTTCCCTGTGGCTGGATGACACGCGTGAGGCATGGCGGCCGACGCAGGTGCGCGGACAGGGTTGCTCCCTCCAAGCGTTCACACCTGGGGCCCTATGTAACCAGGTGCAACGCAGCACCGTGCCAACTGCCGGCCAAAACTCGCCGACTTTGGCCGTCGTAGCGGCAGCGTGGCCTACTCCACGCAAGAAATAGTCATTCATGAAATATATGCGGGCACCGTGTAATACTATGGTTGTGGGCGCTGGTACCTAAACAGACACGCCCTCTGGCGAAGGTTACACACCGGAAGGCGGTCAAATTCAAAAGGAACACAGCGATTGTGTATGACTCCTCTGTCAATTCCTTGAAGTCTCTCTCTCTCTCTCAACTCCTTGGGTGACACTATCTTACTGCCTGCCTCAGGGACCATCCGGGTTTGCTGCTGAGGCAGGTCAATTACCTCGGGTGGCATGCACCAGCAGCAGCAAACACGAAACCAAGGTGCGGCATGGCGCAAGTCCAGGCCTGTGCGAAATGTTTACAGTTCCCTTGGCATATTTGGAACGGGGATTAGCGCCCTTGCCATGCCTGCTCGGCCCGGAATTCGCCACGTGTACGAGTCATGACTAGTATGCCACCATGGCTCCCGCAGGCTGATTCAGATGCTGCAGGATTAAACGGGCACACTAAGGGGGACGTGGCACATACTGCAGCTGAAATGGATGAAGTTTTCAACATTCTCCAGGTGCGCCTCCTTTAAGATCATGTAAAAATGACGTCAGGTAGATCTTATAAAGAATTGAGCTACGAATTAAGGTAGTTTGGTTGGAAGAGGGATTTAACCAGTGCCGGAGCAGGGATGGTATGGCAGTTACGGCGCACACAACACATGGGGCCTATGCTTGTCACTCAGACGTGCTGAACCTTGGATTGGGGATCAGGAGAAATACCATCTGCTCAGGGTAGTTGATGTTCCCTGCAGCACCGTGTGCGGTACAGCTGCAGTACGCTGGTATTGACTGCCCTGTCATGCGCTCGAGTACCCCAAGTGGCCGCAATTGTTATTTACTGCTCAGGAGATGGGGCTGCAGCCTGGCCGACACTGCGTGGTGGGGGATGGACTCGCCGAGGTGGAGGTGGGGCTTTACCTAGACGGAGTGAAGGTGAGTGCGCAGGGAGGGATGCAGAAATTCAGGGTGATAGGCGTTGTGGGCGGCTCGTTTCCCTCCTTTCATGCTGTTCTCTCTACACGATGCATGGAAATGCGGGAAAGCCTTTACGTACTTGCATCTCCCATTGAGGGCTGCAAATGCGCCGGTAGCTAGGACTGTTGAGGATGGGTTAGGCCTTCGCTTTTGCGTGAGCGGGGGAGCTGACTCTTCTGCGCCGACACGGCGATGCTCGCCCTGAAATTGGAGCGTGCCTCGTAACTGCCCCTGCGGGCAGCGAGCCTTATGGCGCGCGCAAACAGGACTTGTGTAATGTGCGGGTGACGCCGCGAACGCAGGTTGCTGTGGACATGGAGCTACACCGCCCTTCGCACACGTTGGTATCAGATGCAAAATCGTATGCACTGAAGCGGGCGATGCGCAGCGTGCTGCAGGTGGGCAGCAGCAGGACCCACAGCGGTTACTTTAACTGGTTTACATTGGATGGATTACGAAAAGGACCAGGGCCCACCAAATCTCTACGTCCTTCAGCCTCATGGCGTCTAAACACCTCACAGGAGGCGTTGGGTTACGAAGCTGCCAGCGCCGGTGTCAACATGATTCCCAGCACGCGTGCTGTCAGCGGTGTAAACCTGCATCCTTGTCAATCCCTAGCTCCGGGCTGAGGTCAGGTTCACCACGCTCCTGTAACGCAACGGTAACAGAGAGCTTAAATGGCCCGCCCCGGGCCCCCGACTTTCATGGCTCTTGCTGCAGGTGCATGGATGGCACCTCGTAACGCTGGTTGCAACCGACTGGCAACAATTGGATGGCCAGCAGAAAGCGCACTACCTGGCGCATTGCATTAACCATGCCTTGGGCATGAGGGCCCAGGGCCAGGTAGGGCACGGCCACAGCCACGACGTCGGCAATGGGCAACATCACCATAATGGCTGCGGGACAAGCTGTTGTGGATCGGGCTGCGGTGACCCCAGCCACCAGCATTAGCTCATTCTGACGTGCAGTGCCGTTCGGAGGCGGCGAAGCGGCGCGCATACCGCATGGATACAATGGATACAATGGATACACGATGAGGCATTGGCAGGCCTTGGGCTGGCGCATGGGCAGGTACAGAGGACTTGGATGGATTTTATACCAAAAGCCATCCGGAACGACAGAATAGTATAGTGCAAAGCTATCCAGGGGCGCTTCACGAGCATTGCACCCCGTGTCACAGTATATGATACGTCGCCAACAGCATACTACTGCCGAACTTGAGAGCACGATGAGCGTGCACGACATGCTGCTTTTAAATACAGGCATAACTTCTGCACAACCCTGGAGCCACGGTATAGGATGATGAACTTGTGCCAGGCGGAACCGGACACGCTTCATACTGGCAAACAGCCTGAAAACCAAACAGCTGAGTAGCCGCTCCCAGCACGCCTTCTGGTCGGAAGGTAGCGGAGAGCACTGCATCTGTCCCCATCGGAGCTGGTTCTGTTGGACGGCACAATCACATCTGGGTAACAGACGCCACGGCTGGGTCTCGCCCGCTTCCATCCACATAGCCGAAGACGTCCATGTCCTGCAGTACAACCATCCGATGGGAAAGGCGAGGACGTATGCGACATCTTGATGGGGCACTTAGGAGTGGCCAGCAACACCTAAGGAGTATTATGGAGTGTGCGCAAGCAGGTACTCAGGCACATGCTGAACCCTGTAGATGGCGACACTTGAATCTCACGTAGCGCCAAGGTGCCTAACTCACCTTGGTCAGGAGGTTGATTTGCACCTTGACGTGGCCGCCGGACTGTACGCGCGTTACTGTTGAGGGGGCACAATGCGCGGTGTTACTTGTGAGTCACTCTTAAGAGTTAGCACCTTTTACAACAGCCATGAGGCTGTCGGGTGGAATCAGGGGCGTAATGTAACGTTGGCCTATCGATATTCATGATGGCATGTACTTAGGAAGGAGCGGGAAGGCTGCAACAACTCCCGCGGCGATGCCGACCGTGTATTTCACTCGCCGGACCTTCAGGATGCATGGCCATCGTGTCATGTGTTCCCGGGAGCTCTGCTGGTCCAATGCCCTGGTTCCTTCTCAATTTGGGTAACTTTACTCGATCTCACCCTCTCTGCCCTCGCCGTAGCTAGGAAATTTAGGGTCTGAAAACTCCGCCGGCATGCCTGACAGCCACGACGTCAGGGACTGCAAGGCAGAAGCAGACCGCGGCCTGAAGAGCCGGAGGGTCAGTTCGTACCTGCGTGGGGCATTGGCACGAGGTGGAGGGACGCGAAGGCTCATTGAGGGTATGCCGACACGGTCTGTGTGCAGAGCAAGTGCAGTCTTCGCAGGAAGCTAAGCGTAGAGGGCCAGGCGCGGTCGTGCTCTGTGATCCACGCAGCGGTGCCTGCAAATTGCTTGCCATGCCCCTTGCATCATCGTTCCACGGTCATCCGCAGTGCCAACCCCTACCTGCCAGCCGACATGGGTAGGTGCATGCAGCCGTATCCTTTAATGACGTCCCGCCCAAACATGTCGAGTCCATAGACAGCCACGACAAGTTGCGGCCATCCAAAGGCGTTGGTGGTCTTGTAGGTGATGTCGATGGGGAAGTTCCACACCAGCACGCCGTCACGCCCTATCGCGGATGGCAGGATGGAGGGCATTTAGTAGAGGGCACTAGCACCAGGCTACGTGTCCGGGACGGCAAAAAGTCTTCCAGGACTGGATTTAGAAATTTCATGGATAGCCAGTACAGACTACAGCTCTGGGAGACCCGGGAGCTGTGGGTGGTGGAGATACATTGGTGCGTGTGAGTTACATGGTCGTGGGGTGCGTTCCTTGTATCTGCAAAACGCCCATTACGAGCCGAGGGCTCTAGGGCTGCAAGATCGCCTACAAGCACCGTCCTACCTCGCACTTCAGACAAAGCAAGCGATAAAAGGAGACTAACGGCCAAAGCGGGCGATTTGTGGTTGTGATGGGTCCGGTATACGTTCCAGCATCCTTGCTAGACGTTCAGGTTCCTACTTCAGAGCGTCTTCACACGTGTTGTGTAAGGCAGGGGGCACGGGCGGGGTTGTCAGGGCACGGGCGGGGTGTTCGCACCTTCGGGTACGCGTGCTGCCTGTGTGATGCCCTCCTCTAGGCCGTCCAGGAGTTGCCAGTCCTCACCGGCGACGAACTGAAACTTCAGGTATGCGTTCGTGCAGTTCGGTATCTGTGGCAGCACCTCTACGTGTCAGCCACCGAGGCCCCTCCAAAACAACATTTACCTAGCAAACGATCCCACCTGCGCACACTCTATTTGCCCCGTGGCCAGAATTGTAAACGAGCTAGGTCCTGAACTTTCACCCATTCAGGAACTTGGTCAAGGAGGACCTTTCGAGACCGGCGTCAAGAGGCAAACTATCTGTTCATGAAGACAGATAAGGAAGAAATGTAAGGAAGGGGCCCGGAATGCACGATCTCGTTTAGGTTTGCAAAGTACCAATCCTATCCGCTTCTCGCGGGGGCGTGCGCGTTAACTTGCTGGACTGCTAAGTAGTTACATTAGTGGAATACATAACCTTTCTTCAAATTGATATGATGTCGGCATGCTAATGCACTCAGCACCTGTCCGTGGCGGAATTCAAGTGCAAGCGTCGTACTTACTTAGAAGAAACGTTTGGTCAACACTCTAGGCGATACGGGGCCAGGCTCTGACCTTCGCTTTGTTATTCTGAATTTCACAACGCATCTTTGACCACATCCTGGTTACGCGCAGTCGACCATCCTTACGCATTTCGCCCCAGTCTTAGCGCGGACGATTTCCCTGTAGCATGTGAAGATCTCCCAACTTCATAATTAGGATGGGAATCCCACCTTGGCTTTTGCACCGACAACCTTGAAGGCCAAGGGAGCGCTGGCTTATGGGAGACGAAGCATCAGCAGGGCCTCCTCCGGTAAATCGCAACGTTAGTTGTGCCTATTATTTGATCGCCTGGAACAGAGGCAGGCTGCGGCGCGTCCCCAGCCCAGCGGAATCGCTTTCCACATGGTTGTGAGGGCGCCAAGTATCCCCAGTCGTGTCGGAATGTTTGACATCCGCAATTACTACATCCGCAGGCCGAAGAGGGGGAGGTCCCTGTAGCACAGGAGGCAACCGTTGCAGCGGCTGAGGACCAGTCCGGTGCTGCTGCGACTGAAGTAGCAGCGGTCGATGGAGCAGCGCCGGCAGCAGATGCGGAGTCTGGCACAGGAAATGCCGAAGCCGACGGCGGGGGTGATGCTGCTGGCACGGGCGCGGAAGGGGAAGCAGACCCCGCAGCTGGCGACGGATCACCTGGAGCAGACGGAGCAGAAGGGCAGCCCTTGGAGGCTTCAGCCGAGGGGGCAGCTGCAGACGGCGTCACAGATGAAGCCGCAGTACCCGCTCCACCTCCACCACCGGTTGAGCTCGAACCTTTGCCCGAAGACTATGTCCCAGTGAAGGACCTGCCCCCTCTTCCGGAGGCGTTTGCGCGGAATGAGGAGGGCAAGCCCATCCCGCTGCATGGCGTTGAGTCTCTCTTCCTGACAGGTATATCACGTATAGTACCGTAATTGCTGCAGGGTTCCCTGACAAGGTGACATTGTCACTACGGGTTCAACTCCGGGGATTGTGAACGCTCTCAGTGGGCCAAGCCCAGGAGCAAGACAACACACAGCTCTTAACCTGACGCGTGGGAGAAGCACAAAAAATGCGCGTGGCAGCAAAGGGGCTGAGCCACAGGCTTTTGGGAGCGACATCCAGTCCGCCGCATCGCCTGTGTCTCAGCATGTTTACAACATGCCCTGCCTTCTGCTATTCTCTCTATCTCGCTCTACATTGTTTTATTTTTCATGACATGAAAGATTCATGGCCAGCGAACGGGACACAACTCTGTCACGTCAGTACGGTATCACTGCATTCTGCCCTATGTCCCTACCGTGCTGCGCAGGCACCACTATCGAGCTGGTGGGGTTGAGTGGCCTGGGCCCTGGCCACATCATGGGGGAAGTGACGAAGGAAGTGCTGCTAGGCGATATCCAGTTCCGTGGCGCCATTAGCGACTTCCACGCACTCAAAGCTCGAATTCAGGCTGCAGGTAGGTAGGGAGCTACGGGAAACAGGGGGAAGAGAGGAACGGCGCTACAGGCGAACGGCACCGCAAGCTAGGCCCGCACAGCGAACCTATGGTGGACAGGGTGCGGGTCGCATGCGAGGGAATGCAACGGCATAATCTGGTAGATATCGCGGATCCAAACATGACCCAAACGAAGGTCATAAGGAGGTAGAGGTTAGTTTGGTGTACAGAGGCAACGAACATATGGCACGACCCAAAGTCGATGGGCGGACCGTCCTCAGGTCAGGTCAGGTGCTCGCATGCGGACGAGCAGCGACACCGTCCTACTGCCCCCTCCGTGAGGATCACCAGCAACGGGGAAGGACAGTTACATGCATTTGCGCTCGCGGCCTTAGCATTTTTGTTGCCCGCGGTAACTATGTAACCAGTATGGTGGGGCAGAAGCGGTATGTCCACGATTGAAGGCAGAGGGACCCTCGCTGGGGAAGGAGGATTTGCAATAGCGCCCTCCCGCCCTCAGACAGGATAAATAGATGGCAAGTGGGTGTCGTCTGTATGTGTGTGTACGTGTGCTGCCAGCCAAGGGCAGGTGCTAGGTAAGGGACAGGAAGGCGCACTCGCCTTACAGCCCCGAGCAGGCGGTCACCTCGCCAGCTACAGGCCCTACGGCGGAGGTCTTGGCTTGCGGACCAAAAAACTTGCAAAACACTGCCAACCGCCAACTGCCTGCAGACTATGACCCGCTCCTGATCCGCATTATCGAGGATGATCTGTACGGCGACGGTAACAACTTCGAGATCGCGCTCGCGAAGGAGGCGGGTGAAACGTGGCGGGCGGTCGTTGAGGAGGCGGAGCGGCGTTCCAAGCTGTTGGAGCTGGAGGCAGCGCACGCGGCGGCGGAGCGTGCAAAGCCGCGATCGAAGCGTGCAAGGAAGGTCAATCCCTGGCAGAGCATGGGGAGCGAGGTGGGTTCAGTATTGTGTCCGGTGGGCTGAGAATTAGGCGAGGGGTAAACACCGCCTCGGTGTTTTTGCGTCCCTTTCCTGTTTATACCCCTTTTGAGGCCGCTGGCTTGTGTGTCCACCTGCTTACTTGGCTGCACTCGCTTTATACATTTTGGTGTAAATACCATGTTCCCTTTCCGTTTCAACACATGGTGGACCCATTGTAACAAGTTTTATCCAACCGCTTGCTGCTTTGCCCGCGCAGTTGGACATTGAGGAGGCTTCGGTGCGGCCACGTCGTGAACCCATTCGGCTGGTGGTCCAGCGGAAGCGGCGGGAGTTCCACCAGAGCGGTATCAAGCTGGCGGACAAGGACGCGCATGAGTTGTGGAACAGCAGCCAGATGGAGTGCAGACCGTTCAAGGTAAAGGGGAATGCAAGGGTGCCCCGGCGGTATAGGGAAGGAATGGCCTGAATGCCAGCGCTTCGTAGTGGCTACGTTTGCATCACCGTCAGGCGGCGATCAGTAGTACTATCAGCCGCGTGACGACGACAAGCGGACAGGAAGGAGAAGGGCAACATGCAGTATATGCACACACGCGCGAATACATGCGTCCGTGGTTACGTATATGGTGGACGGGGAGACGAGGGAGAGGAAAGGAGTGATGGCGACTAAGGGAGGTAGCATTGCCTGACGCTTGCTTTGCCTGGGGATGGAACACAGAAGAAGCATGAAGCCGCAATGCATTGCACACGTGGTGGAAGAGGAAAGGGGGCGGAGGGAGGGAGCTGAAACGGGGGAAGCCACAAGCCCAAACAAGGCCTTTACCTGATTTGGAGCCCGTCCTGAGTCCCGAGTCATCTTCGCCCTTGTCGATCAACATGGTCAGATTACGAAACTGCCAGAAACGGCAAAGTCATTAATAACTTTGCCATCATCAGGGACGCTCTCTTGGAGTCCCGCCCCATCCTTCTGAAGCTGTTTTCTTCCAGTTCAAAGACCTTCATCCCAATATCCGCCTCGTGCCGGGCAGGCTCCCTGCAGGACAGATTAAAACCTCCTACACATGCTCTATAATCACGGGGCCACCACATGGACCTACACACGCCTGACTGGCTAGAGCACCCCCCTCCCCACGGCCTTACAGGACCCCAACTTTGACATGCGGCGTATGGAGCAGGACGTGGGCGTGCAGGCAGTAGCGCCGTTGCGTGACGCCAGCACACAGTCCCGTGGGGCCATCCCGCCACGCCCCGCCGCTACGCAGACGCAGGCGCTGGACATGGATGAGAAGGGCAAGCGGGAGACGTTGCAGCGGCCGCGGGGCTCTCCGGGAAGCGTGGCGGACTTTTTGGAGCGCGTGCGAGACCAGTGAGTGGGTTCTGGGACCTCGGGAACTAGATTTGAACTGGTGCGTGGGGGAAGGGCGTGGGGGGCCCCCACCACGGAGCGCGGCTGCTGAGAAGTGGATCCTTGGCCTTTGGGTACGTACCGCATTTTCAACAACAATTTCCCTCGCGAAATGAAGAAATCTGGCTTTTTTTATCAGAATGTTAGCAAGTTATAATCTCAATTTCCATCCACCAGATATAGCGTTGGGCTGTATTACTAAGTGGCGTGTCAAGGGGCGTCCATAGAGCCCCTGGCTACACCGATGGCCGGAACCCACCCGCATACCCCGCGCTCCAGGCCAAGTACTTGCACGTGAACGCCCTTTTAACCTCTCGCCATGAACCCAATCCAACCCCACGTCATCACCGTCTCGTAGATGTGAGGTAGCCCTGGTGCAGAACGAGATCACCAACATCTTCCGGGACGATCTGGCCGCGCTGAATGACGAGGCTGATGGTGGCGGCGGCGGCAGCCGCAAGGAGACCCTGGTCTCCGAAGCACAGTCCTTCACGCACCTGACATACTCCAAGAATAAGGTATTTGGGACACGTCCTGCCTTTTCCCCGTCCGCCAGCTGCAGGCATGCCTGTGCGCAGTCCCGCCCTCATACATCTGTCAGTTCTACGTCTGGTACACTCTTGCCCTGGCAGCAGCTTCACCCGTTCGTGGTTCGTCCTTCCCCCCAACATCTCCCGTGTGGCAGTGCACACGCTGCTGCTTTCCTTAGTCCCTGTCCTGGTACTTTAATGACCTTCTTCCGTCCTCCCCGCCCACCCCGGCGTTTACCCCGCACCATTTAGTTCCCTTCGTGGCCCTTCGTCCCGTCCCACATCACTGCCCCTATCTCAAACCGCTTTCACCTCATGTCGTTCCACGAGCCCGTACTCCTGTACCCCGCTCTGCGCCGCGCCACACACGCAGGTGGTGTCCGCCATCCAGTGGCTGCCCCACCGCAAGGGTGTGGTAGCAGTAGCCTGCACGGAGGCGCAGTCACACGCGGAGCGAGTGTCGCGCATGGGCCGCACCGCCCCCGCGCACATCCTGCTGTGGAACTTTCGAGACCCCATCCATCCGGAGCTCGTGCTGCAGAGCCCCTGGGAGGTCTTCGCCTTCCAGTTCAATCCGTTGCAGCCGGATCTGCTCACTGGCGGCTGCTACAACGGCCAGGTGGTGATGTGGGACCTCAGCACGGAAGTGGATCGACTGGGCCGGAAAACGGCTGGCGGAGCCGCTGCCACCACTGGCGGCGCAATCAAAGGCGGCGCGGATGGGGCGCCCAAGGCAGCAACAGATCTGACACCGCCGCCCTCGGCGGCGGCTACGGCCGCCGTTGGCGGCGGCGGAGCCGGCGCTGCCGGCGGCGTTGGCAGCAGCGGAGCCGGAGATGCGGGGGCTGGATCGGCGGCCGATGGCGATGCACACATCCCCGTGGTGAAGCACCGCTTCATGACGGACACGCAGTTTAGCCATCACCAGGTACATTGTACGGCGCAGGGCGGCAGCGCGCCATGGCTTGGTTTTCCCTTTCCCGTCCCCGCTGCAGGCCGACTTTCCTTTTTACCCTTTCCCCTCTCCTCTCCCCTGCTTGGCCCGTCTGGTCTGGTTCGATCTCCCTCCACCCCAGGTGGTCACCGACCTGCAGTGGCTGCCCGGGGTGGAGATCAGCCACCGTGGCAAGGTGACCAAGCTTGGGGAAGGATCCAAGGAGTGCAACTTCTTCGCCACCATCGCGGCGGACGGCAAGGTACGAAACAAACCTATACTTCAGCCAAAGCCACACCCGCCTGCAAGTAACCTTGGACCCCACTTCCGAGGGACAAGACTGGCGGGCTGGGCGGAGCCCGGCAATGAGGGGGCGGGCATGCGACTCAGTCCGTTTCCCCCAAGGTGTTCACCCCTGAATAGATGCCGCATGGCCCAGAAGCCTCCCACTCTGTAACAATTCAATTCAAGATGCCGCAGTTTGTTGTTGGGTTCATAGCACTGCAGCCTATCAGTCGCATGCCTCGACTCTTGGGACCCCACTTTGTGTGAGACCTCTCTCCTGCAGCACAGTCCTGGGCTGCGCCGCCCGGCGCATTCTTTTGCTGTACCGACGAATGCGCGCGTATCCTGTTCCATCCGCCGCTCCGCCGTTCCGGCCTTGCCGGATCTTTGCCTTCGTAACTGACGTGACCCTGCCCTCCGGCCCCACGGTTACGCACCGTCACTCGGCCGGTCCTGGTCTCGTGCAGGTGCTGTTTTGGGACGTGCGCGTGGAGAAGCTGTTGAAGAAGGGCAAGAAGGCGGATGACCTGTTAGACCTGGTATGGAAGCCCATACACAGCGTGCACCTCATCAGCCTCATCGGTGAGCCTGGAGGGGGTTCGACGAGATGAGCGGGGCGGGTTGGGATGAATGGGGTGCGGTGGTGCCGGCTGCAGTTGCGGGTGTCGGCGTTCGCCATGGCTATGCGCTTTTGTGCGGTTGCGTTCTTCTCATGGCAGGCAAGCAAGGACGAGGACTGCGTCGCTTTGCGTGGTAGAAGAAGAGGCGATTTGCCGTGATCAAAATGCGCATATGTGCGCGTTTTTTTTGTTTTTTTTGTTACAGGGTGGTTAACTTTTTTGGTTAACGTTTTTGTGTGTTAAGGAGAGTGTGTTGAGAGGAAAGCATTTAAGATGCCATGCCGACGGAGAAAGCTCAAATCAACAGATGATCGCCGTCCAGTGTGACGACTGTGAGTGTTTGTCCGCCTGCATCCACAGGCATGGACCTGGGCGGCACGCGCTTGGCGTTTGACTTCCGGCGTCTGGAGCAGGGTATGTTCTTCGCGGGCTCCTTTGACGGAGAGCTGGTGTATGCGGACTTTATCAAGCCTGAAGGAGAGGAAAACCCCGACTATGCCAAGAGCTGCCTGCAGGTAAGCAACCCACACCGTACAGTCCACTGTACAGCAACTTTGCAAGCGTATACCGCCTGCTCACGGATTGTGGCCTTGGAGCAAGATGATGCGTTCTGGCGCCTGCTGGTGTCGGCGTACATTCCGTGCAACCTCATAGCTCTTCTGGTTTGCTGCTTCTTTGTGTCCTAACCCCGTTCATCATTCATACCTGTTTCTTATACCTGTTTCCTATTTCCGTGCAAGAAGCCCTGCATGGCAAAGATCCCCGTCCAAAAAACTGCAGCTGCGCACCAAGAACACGCATGCCCACCACAGCGATTTTGCAATCCACGTTCCTGCCGTCCCCTCACGTCCGTCGGTCTATGCCAAACGCACCTGCACGCTCCCTCCCCTCCCTAACCACGCTCCCTGTCCCTCCCTGCCCTTTTTATCCAGTTTCATTGCTCGCCATCATCTTGATCCATATGGATCGCTGTCTGTCTTCCCCTCCCGCTTACCGCGCCCCCACCTTAATCCTCGGCCCCAATAGGCCCACGTGGGTCCTGTCATCGCCCTGGAGCGGTCGCCCTTCTTCGAGGACATCGTGCTCACGTGCGGGGACTGGCAATGGCAGTTGTGGCAGGAGGGCTCATCCACACCGCTGTTCCAATCCGGATACGCACAGGACTACTACACAGCAGGTGCGGTGCGATTTCGATATCTGCATATTAGAGCCCCCGAACGCTAAAAGCTAAACCCAACACAAACCAGCAGTACGTACTATTACATGAGCTCAGCGCACGTATCCATTCTCCGCCCCTCGCAGCCTGCTGGAGCCCCACACGTCCCGCCGTTCTCTACCTGGCCGACCAGTCAGGCAGTCTGGAGGTGTGGGACCTCCTGGACCGTTCCCACGAACCCTCCATCCGCGTCACACTGGCGGCCACACCCATCATGTCGCTCGCCTTCAACCCCATGCCGGCAGCGGCGTCGGCGGCGCAGCAGGCGGCCCAGCAGCTGCTGGCCGTCGGCGATGCGACAGGTGGGTGGGGACCGGCGGGACCGGGGACCGGGATGGGGACATGCGGATGCGCATGCATCCCCAACGGTCATGAGCTTGCATGAGTATGTGAAATTCGGTCTAGTACCACAAGGCTCTACCTCATTCATTGGCACTGGTCTGTCTGTCGGTCCCCGACTTCATGCTGTTTTGGGTATCTTGTCCTGAATCATCGCTTCCTATGGGTATCTTATCCCACCGAATCCCGTTACCCCCATTCTGCCGTCCTGGAATAGGCGTCCTCCGCATCATGGAGCTGCCCCGTAACCTACGGAGACCTGTGCACAACGAGAAAAAGCTGATGGGCACGTGGCTGGAGCGCCAGCAGCTGCGGCTGGCGGACGTCGGGGCCAGGCAGCCCACACGCGCGGCAGCGCGCAAGGAAGCCGAAGTAGGCTCGGTTGTGCATGTGTGTGTATGTGTGTTTCCGTGCGCGCATGCTGAGTTGCGCGTCTCAAGGCCGAATCTTCCATGTGCTGCTGACGCGGTCGCGTCTTGCCGTCTCTGGAAAATGGTTACAACCCACTAAACCCGCGCCATGGAGCCGACCCTCTCACCCACCCACCAGCAGTTCGTGCTTTGAACCTAGGTAATTATATTTTGCATTTTGGACTTCATCCGCATGCATACAGGAGCGCAAGAAGGAGGCGGAGGCAGCTGCTCTGGCGGAGGCGGCGGCGCGCGAGGCGGCGGCCAAGGATGCCGCCGCCGCCGCGGCCGTGGGACTGCCGCCTTCCACCGCCGACCGCAAGGACAGAAAGGGGCAGCACCTGGCCGAGTTCGACGAGAAGGCTGAGCAGGAGTACCTCAAATTGGAGGCGCGGTTCAAGGCACAACTTGGGTTGGTGCCGCAGGATTCGAACGGCTCCATGGCTGGAGGATTCTGAGGTTGCGGCTGCGTGCAGGCGGGGGCGGCGTGTGGCGTTGTGGGCTATGTTGTGGCCGTGGGGGTCTTGGGTGATGGAGCAGTGTATATGTTTTAGGGGAACATCGCTCGTATCTCCCCCACGTGATAGGTACGGCACCCGTACAAACTTTTGGGCTGCGTTCCTTCCTGCCTTCCCTGTTGAAGGGCATCGTATGCATTGCAAACTGTCTAGTTGTGTGGTGGCTATGGAGCTGTCGATCAGGAGTGTAGTGCGAAGCCCTGGTCTGCGGAAAACTTCGTGCGGGTTAGTTGCTCCGTGCCCATTTGTAAAGATCAACAGCTGACCCAAAGCCGCGTGGGAGCTTGGAGGGCCTGCGGTATGGCTCGGGGCGCCCGATGGCATCCCAGCTGGCTGGCGACGGTCGGCAACTTCGCCGTGCGAATGCTATGGCTTGGAGGGCCTAGAGGGAGTGGGGGATACGTCCTCTAGGTGAGCCGGACATAGGCCCACAAGGCCTACACTGTAGGGCCTGCTGGGGCCGGAGTTGCTGCTGATGGTGCCGTGGGAAGGCGGGATGGGCCGCGACGCAGGGTGAACGCGTTACAGAGGCCTTTCCTTCGGTGTTTTCACCTTGACTTCCAAAGCTCCGGCCAAATGCATGCGTATGCGCATTGGTTGCGTGTGTTGCACTCTGCGCTTGCCCGTCCGCGGCGTCCATTGCTGCGTAGGCAGCCGTCTGGTGGCGCTTGTGTATGGTGTGATGTCAGGGAATCTTTTCATTCAGCAGGGCAGTCCGTGCTTCCTGGGTAGAACGAGGCCTGTTGGGTGTTGCGGCGGTGATGTGGTGTATGGCGCGGATGAGAAAGCACAGCCAACTAGACAGCCGAGTGCACCCACCGCGCCCTCCACAAACGGGTGTTTTTGCAACGGCTTGAGGCGAGGGGGCCGGTTGGTGCTCTTGGACCGGGACGCGGTAGTCGTGAAAGGACTGGCGTGGTCCTAAACACTGTAAACCACACCATCGGCTGTGAAGCTGCCGAGACGCTAACAGTTCACTTACGGACGGCTCTTGTAAGTAACATATGTGCACGTGGCAACCGAGCGTCATTAAGGAGGGCCTCCCTTGCGTTCCTTTTCAGTACCGTATATGTATGTGTCGGCCACCTCCTAGCGTGTCATGCATATGGGATCCTTGCACTCATCCCTCTTAAAGAAGCCTATTCGGTACGCCCCTTCGCGGCAGCCGTTTTCGCCTAGTGTGTGCGCACATGCCATTGCTTTATGAATCTTCATCATCATCATCATCATCCGCCGCCGCGCTCTGCTTGGCTGGGTTTCGCTGATGTCCGCACGCGTGGCGAGGTAAGGCTGGTCGCAGGTCCGTATGGTACGTTTAGCTGCAATTCGGGTCCACACCCGCCCATGCGGAGGCGGGCGTACTTGGTGCAGACCTTTAGAAGCCGCAAGCAGATATCCGGAGTTTTCCGGAGGAACGCCTGCGTGGTGAGGTCCACGATCAAACGAACGTCGGGCTGCGCTTTGCATTTATGATGGGAGGCGCTGGCAGGCTCTGGGGGCTCGGGAGAGGGATGAGGAGGAGAAAATCGTGCCGTGGGATAACGAACGACGACGGGTTACATTCGACACGCAGTCTTTAAGATTTTTTACGGAGCCTCACCAAGGGCTTTTAGAACCTGTCATTGCCTATCGACAGAATGAGTCGAGAGCACGATGTACCCGCAACTTCAAATTCGTACGCGTCTGTGCAAATGGTAAAACAGGGACTGCTATGTATTGCCGTGCAGGCCATCTGCAGGCGCGTCTCTAGACACAGCAATTACGCTAAGGCGCGGCATAGTGTACCTGGAAGGACCAGAATCGATCCCGACATAGAGCATGAAGGTTGTTACCTTCGACCGGTAAAAGGATGATACACACCATCATGCCGATGAAAGGTGATGGCATAAGTAACCTGTGAGCCAACCAGGAGTGAAGTAGGCGCTGCCGATTATCCGGCGTCATGACTTCGCAGAAGTCGGCATGGGCGAGAAGGATGCGTGTGACCGTAAACATTGAAGGTAGGGACTGCCAGGTTAATGGCAACGGGCGAAGCTATAACCCCCCTACTTCACACAAACACACATAGGGTTGCCAACGAAGCCCCCGCGACCATAGCGGGCTTGAGGAGTAATAAAGGACGGTAATGACATAAGATGCCGTGTGTGATGTTCCTGGCGCATGGGCGCGTGTGAAAAATACGTAGAAATGGAGACCGGTGTTATCAAGCACAGCACAGCTCTCATCCTCTCACCCAGACAAGAGAGCAAAATGCAAACAACAGACACGGCTAACAGCGTGTCAACAAGAAGACAACAAGGCCCCTCTGGTGCAAATAATTTCCTATGCAGGCTCCGCAGCGTCTCATGCAGAGATAACCTCCATTAGATGCAGCTGTCACTCCAAGAAACACATTACCACGAATTGCGGGTTGCAGAATCCGCATGCGCTCAAACGCGATTAAAAATGCAAACCAAGAATTGTCAAATTGCAAACAGGCCATGACCTTTTGGACAATGCCAATAGGTTTCAGAGGCACCTGAGAAGAATTACGCAATCGCTATTCGCAACGTGATATAATATGGCTTTAACTCAGCCGTTCTCACCGCCACGCAATCGTGCGTGCTGCACTGTGACATTTCGAAGCAAGGTTGCCCTGCCTGCACATACCAACACATATTTCTCACTCAGCATGGGCTAGCAAAAAAGCAGTAAGGCGGCCCTCCGTCCTTCAGTGCCGGCCATGTCCAGCGCTACGGAGCGAAAGGCGCCGGACCGCACTTCCAAACGTCCCTATCCTAACTTAGTTCCAGTTCCATCCGTCCTGTCCTTACATTTACACTCCGCCTTCCCAGGTCGGGCCCGGGGGCGCGCCGAACGGCGCGCGTCTACGCGGACATGGGTCATAATGTTAAGAAGGGGCCGATCCTATGGGATTGCAGCCCTTAACCCCGGCAACGCGTGGAGGGGTCGTGCAGAAACTCTCCGCTCTCATGGCAGCAGCTCACAGCTGATGGTCGCTCGATCCAATAGGAATCCTAAAAACAACTCTATCAGGCATCAAAACACACAAGCAGATCAAAGATCCTCTCAAACTGAAGAATTACGGAGAAGGCAATTACGTGTGGCCCTGATACCACTAAGTGCTCGACCAAAGCACACAGCGGTATGCCTCAATTGCTACGCACACATTCTTTACGTCACGACATCAAACCGCAAATCCTGGCGGATGGGATAAAACGGGGTTGTTGGAGTAAAACCATCCTAGTAGTGGATACAGCCAGCAGGTTGCAGGGGAAGGCCAAACTCTGCCAAACACATCACTAATGCTCGCAGCACCGACACCCAACACCTCTGCCACTCACAGAGATAGAGAGGGATAGAGCACCACTCGAAAGGCAAACACAGTCTATGCAAGCGATCCAGGAAAAGAGGCGTCGAGTGACACTCAGTTTCTAGTGGTAACGGAACGGCAGAGCCCGGTGCGAGAACAATACGCATAGCACTATTGGCCACCCTTGAACAGCCATAGACTTGATATACTTCATCATCAAACCCTAACATTTCCGCGCGCATGCGCATCTCATCAATGCAGGCGACATTCTGAGCTGTCGCAAACAGCGCCTCCAAACAGGACAGGAGGACAGGTAGCCGCGCTATGCAAGCACTGTGATAAATGAGAAATACCAGATGCATTGCATTTCCGGCAGGCACATCATAGCTATATACTTGATTATGATACCACTAAACGTCATCTAAACAGTTTCGACAGTAAGCCATGGCGCAAACAACCAACACCAGAGCTCTAGCTAGTACCAAAGAAGGCCATCGGCCTACAGCATGCCGCAACTTGGCGCGTCAGCTTCTGTGGCTTGTTAATATAGTTAAGAGTCATTCTTTACCTGCTTGAGCGCAGCACGCAAAAGGTCAAACTGTTTTATGGACCTATTGCGTGAACGATTTATCCACGAGAGCATGAATTCTGCGAGGCAGAACGTTCCGCAACCAACCGGCAATCACACCTCATCAAACAGCACAACCCTGCAGCCCGATGCGCGCAAATCACTACGAGCATCATCCTTGAAGAAAACACGCACACGTACATCACATTCTCAGGAACTCCCAAATCCATATCCACAAACAATCTTTCCCAGAATCCACCTTCCCAAACGAAATGACCCCGCCCACGCGGGTCTGGACAGCCCGCAATCCTACCAAGATAGGCAAACCCCCACATTGTGTGAAGCCGCAAGTCCCCCCCCCGTCCTCCTCCATGATCTACGTCGCAATGGAGTTCCTACTGAGGTAAATCCCAGCTCGTGTGAGTAGCCCCGCCCGTGAAAGCGCCTCATGCAGGTATGCAGAGGGCCGACTTTGCCGGGCTTCCACTTCTGACCACCGGCCATGACCCCCCCGGCGCCGAAACGACTGCTCCAGGAGCCCTGGGAACCCTCAGATCCGCCACATTCCGCACGCACAGATCTCCTGGGGATGTCCCAACCGCAATTTCAGCGGATGCAGATATGGCTTCTGAAGGAGATTCTGCTGGTGGTAAAGGCACCACTGCTTTGGGCTGCAGCCATGGGTGCCTAAGGAGCTGCGCCGCGGTGGGTCGCTCCAGGGGGTCTGGCGCCAGCGCCGCAATCACGAAGTCACGTGCGGCGGGCGGCACTGAGGCGGGGAAGTGCAGCGAGGCAGGGGTCATCTGGCTGCGGACGAAGCCACTGACGGAATCGCCGTCCGGAACGCTGCGTTTGTCAGCTGAGGAAGCGGCCGCGGTGCTTGGGGAGGACTTCACTACCGGCGGAAAGCCCACCATAAGCTCGTACGCCAGAACGCCGCCGGCCCAAATATCCTGTGCGGGGCGGGGGCAGTGTGGTGGTGTGTGCATCATCAGCTACTAAGAACTGAAGTCACAAAGAGACAGACATGCTTGCCAGGATTCAGCCTTGTCCTCAGACATCAGCATTGCACTGTGCTAGCCCGGACAGGATGCGCCGTGTGGGTTTCCAGAGTTCCTTCGTCGAATCTTCGGAGTCCGGGCGCCGCGCTGTGATGCTGCAAGGGACACAGCTGCGACATCTCCAGCACCCAGCCTAGCTAAGAGGGTTATTTGAGCTGTCAACTACGACTTTGATGGCTGGGTTGCCCCTCGACCGACGGAATCGCACCATCCTAGCCGTTTCCAGCAACCCTTCCTTTTGCCACACTGCGAACTTTCCTCACTTCCCCCTCCCCATCACACGCACCACTGCTGTTGAGTAGGCGTATCTGGGGTCGTCCTTGTTCTCATGCGGCGCATGCTTGAGGGGGCATCGCTCCACCTCGGGCGCCATGTAGCCCTCAGTGCCGGCACGGGTGACGGCTCGCTCCTGGTTCAGGTCGATGCTGACGCCGAAATCCGCCAACAGCAGCCGCCAGTTCTGAGAAAGCAGAATGTTTTCGGGCTGCGGGTGCAGGGTGAAAGCCACGCGTAGCAGGTTAGGGGGATGAAGCCTTGGAGTGGTGCCAGAAGCAAAACAGGGCATGTGCGAGTCCTGCTGTCAATCAATTTAGTAGAGCCACGTTTACGTATTACTTGCCTTGCACGATGTCGCGTGTGCTATTCGCTATCGTAGTTGCAGGCATCCGCCCGCGTGAGTCTAAGTCCAAGCAGCTTGCCAAGATACTGGCAGCTTGCACGTGTAACTGCATTACGAGGTGTGTGCCTTCCTACCTTAATATCCCGGTGGCAGACTCCCCTGGAGTGAAGGTAGGACAGGGCCTCCAGGAAGGGCCGCATCACACCGTCAGCAACCTGTGTTGTGAGGGGAACGCGGTGAGGGGAACAAGATAGGAGAGAGCCACCATGGGGTGTTAAAACAGTTTAGAGTTACGTTGGTTGAAAGATTTTGGATCGGCTCTGTTATCGAATGCTTTGTGACAAAGAAAATCAGCGGAATCGGGTAAGGAGAGATTGCATCGTAAAGCTGTTCGCTTGGGATGCAAAGGAAAAATGTGGCTTTAGAGGGTTTGTTGGTACAGATTAGTA